CCCGCCGCGGCTCAAACTTTTCAACCCTGCCGGCGCTGCCGATGGCCGCGGGAGAGGAGGGGGTTGTTGTGTGAGAGTGGCCATTACCAAGCTAACCGAGTTGCTCAACTCGAACATATGCCCCGGGCTCGGCGCTCGGCGCGCTGTTGGAGGGCGAATCCGCTCCACACCGCGCGGTCCGATACGCTAACAAAAAGAAGGACGCCGACAGTCAGCGGCAGAGTAATAGTCTTGCCTCCGGATTTGAGAACAAAGTGCCCTCGCGCAAAGCCAGGGCCAGCCCCAGACGTGCCGGCAGAGGCCGAGGCCGCGCCGGGCCGCCAGGCTGCAGGTTGAATAGTAAATTCACCGGCGTGGCGCACACTGCTTGGCCTGGAATCGAAGCGCGAAGCACCTGCAGCAGGCCCTGGGATACACCGTCAAGGCCACGATGAAGGGCAGGCACCGTTCGGACTCGCCAATTACTGTCATCACGCCCTCGCTGATTTCATTCCTTTTTTCCTTTTTTCGCTCCCCATCCCGGCAGCAAGGAAGGCCGACCCGGGCGCCGAGGAGGAACAGCCTCGACCAGCTTTTAAGGATTTTTCCTGCACTCAGCCTGGGTAGGCCTAAAGGGTGGGGGCGCGGCAGCCGGGGCGCTTGCTATCGAGGTACGTGATCCTTCCTCCCCCTTCCCCCTTCCCCACAACTCATCCGTTCCGTTCCTGGCTCGCCTAACCGTCCCTCTTCGTTAGCGGGGCGCACAAAAGTGCAAAATCTATCGCGGAGGTCATTTTTTCCCCGCCCCCGCTTCTCCTCCGAGTACGTCGCCGCCACCGTCGTCGCGGAGCCCGGCGGCGGCGCGCTGATCTATTTACCGGTCGCCTCGGAAAAAGGAGGCAATACGCGCCCTGCCTCGCCGGCCCCGTGACAATTGGATTCTTGCCCTCTCTTTGACAGGTGTCCTTTCTCTCCACCTGGAGCGCGCCGCCAGATTGGAGGGAGTGAGAGGGACGGCGGCTGGCGGGACGGTTCGGCCGAGCAAACGTGTCAAGTAAGCAATCCCAGGCCGGGCTCCATATCCGCGTGGTGGCCGGCGTGCCCAGGGCGTGCCCAGGGCGTGCCCAGGGCGTGCCCAGGGCGTGCCCAGTGTGCCCAGGGCGTGCCCAGGGCGTGCCCGGCCTGCAAAGGGGATCCCCGGGGCGGCGTGGCCAGAAGGTGTGGCCACAGAACGCGAGCCCGATCAGCCAATCCGCAACGCGATCCCGGAGTCCGGGCGAGTTTTCGAGATCACACTTCAAAACCGTTTTCATCGCTTCCCCTCCCCCCCCCCTTCCGCTTCGCTTTCTTCTCTTTTTTGAGGGGGATTGTGTTCCTGCGCGGAAGCGGAAAAAGGGAATCCTGCAGACGTACTCGTATCTCCGCGGAGCTTCGGGCCATTCTTTCGCTGACACACCGAAAACAACTTTTGGCCCGTGAAAATTTTTTCATGTATTGAAAAAAAAAATTTTGGAGCGTTTAACGAGCAATGTCTTTTGATTTTTCCTTTCCCTCGAAACCATTCATGGGCGGGAAAGATGGAGGAAAGGCGTGCCGCGCTCAAGTGGCGTGTTTGATGTGAGCACTTGGAGTCTCTGGCTCCGCGGCTCCGCCCAGTCCGCGGGCCGTTCAGTCAGACGGGGTGGCCTTTCTCGCGATCAGGCCAGTCCAGTCCTTGAGCCCCTCAACCAGTCCGCGGCTTTGGTGGTGTTTGGTGGCGCCCTTCGCGCGGGGCTGTTGCCCCTCCACGTCGGCGTCGTACTCACAGGCGGTGCCGAAGTCCTCGCCGCGGACGGCCGCATTGCCACGGGGCGCCTGGCGCTTCGCCTGGCGCCGACCGTCACGACAGTCACGTCACGTCACTCACTTGTCACGCCGACACGCGTGGGCCGCGGCCCGCTAACGCAAACGCGCCGAGTCTGTCACTGACCGGCGGCCGCTGTCCCGACTCAGTCCCTCCCGGGGGCGGCGCGGGCGGCCCGCGGGGGCGGCGGGGGCGGCGGGTTCGCAGTGGGGCGCACACCGCATGTCGGCGGTGCGACCCGCCGCAGACAAGTCTGTCACAACGACGCCGCCTTGGCGCGCCTTGGCGGGGAAGTCCGTGACAGTCGCGTCGTCACATTGTGACAGGACCGTGGCGCGGCGTGACGAACCGCCCGGCGAGCTAGGCCGTCGGCAAGGCGCTCCTCCTCGTGGCGAAGCAAGGCGAAGCAAGGCGAAGCACACCCTGGCGTGCCGTGCCGTGCCCGCCGTGCCGTGCCCGCCGTGCCGTGCCCTGCCCGCTGCGGTTGCTCCGCGTGGAGGTTCGCGGACGACTGAGGCGGCGCGGCGCGGCGACTCTGCCGGTGGTGACGCGCAGGGGCGGGCAGAGGGCCGGGCAGAGGGGCGCGCCGAGGGGGTGGGGCGCTGTGGGGGAGGGGGCGGGGCCCGGCGGGGCCGGCAGGGCGCACAGCTGTGAGGCAGGGCCAGGCAGGGCTTGGCAAGGCCGGCCCGGCTAGAGTCCTGCGTTGATGCATCACTGTGTGCAGCCCCAGGCCGGGCCCCAGGCCGGGCCCCAGCCCGAGGTCCTCCCGGGGGGCTCTGCCGCTGACACGTTTTCGACCTACTTCCTAAAACGGGGAAAAACCGCACACATATTTTCTCCCTCTCCCCCGTTCACTCTCACGTCATCGAATCGTGCGATGCCAGTGGATCTCTCAGAGCAGGCCCGTCGTGGGTGACCGACATGGCCCAGCGGAGCGCGCCGTTGCGGTAGGCAACCCAACGCACGCCCCCGTGCCGCGCCGCTGGGTCGGCCTATGTCGCCGGGCGGGCCTGCCCCGGACTGCTTCGGACTTCGGGCCACTCTCGCTCTCTTTCTCTTACCTTCTCTCTCTCTCCCTCTGCCGCGCAGCTTCGCGGCAACGCAACCAGCCAGTCGTATTAGCAGTCTTGCCTGTACCCGCAGGGCTTGTCGAGACCCAATTTCGTCAAAAACAATCACGTATCCATTGTAAACACGGCTTGAAAGCGGCAGCTCATAAATACGAGTGTTTGCATTCAAATTTGTGTGTGTTTGTGTGTGTGTGTGTGTCGGTGTGTGGGTGTGTGCGTGACGTGCGTCGCTATGGAATTATGAATGAGTCCTAAATAGGAGACACGCCATCATCATATGGGATGAGCCGCATTGCGAGCACCGTCCGTCCGCCAGCGCGTGGCCAGCGGCTCACGCCCGGTCCCGGTGGACACTGCTAAAGCGCGGATCCAGGGGGTGGGGGTTGGACGACTTTCCCCCCACCCCCTTGCCGCGAGAAAGCCGCCTGAAAGGTAGGCAAAACGCCACACTCCTGCACTCGTAAGTTGGCGAAAAGTGCTACTGAGGCCCCCTCAGACGGGCCCTGGATCCGCCACTGGTGGATCGCCATGGCTCCCGCTCGGCGGTCGTCAACCCCCTCCCCCCCCCTCCCCTCGCCGAAGCCTCGCCGAAGCCTCGCCGAAGCCTCGCCGAAACCCAAACCGGTCGGCGAGCCCGGCGTCGCTATTTCCAGGAGCGTGTCATTCCCCGTCCCCGCGTCGCCGACGCGATCCGCGCCGAGCCGCGTGGGGGATTAGGGATTTCCTTTCGGCCGTCCTCACTTTGATCAACTCCGTTCGGACTTGATCAATACTGCTATGTATGCCACGGTCGAAAGTTGCACGCAGCGCCCCGGCCGTTCCATCGGCCACTCCATTCGGCAGGCCGTTGTTTCGCGTTTTAGCGCAGGGGGGGCAACTTGCTTTCCCTCGACAACTTTTCGAAAAGCCTGCCAGCCGGCCGTCGCGGCCCAGCCTTAGCCCAGCCCCGTCCGTCCGCGTCAGTGGTGCTGGTGAACTTGTTCCCGCGGCTATTTCGAGCCTTTTTTGCCGGATGCCCCCAGAGCCCCTTCCGGGAGCACCCAAAGCGGATCCCCAACGCGGCCGCTTTCTGCGAATAAGGGATTAGTTGAACGCGCGCGCGACGAGCGGCGGCGAGCGACGGCAAGCGGCGACCGAGCGGTGCGGAAGCGGTTATCGTCGCCGATGTGCAGCACGCGGCCACGCGGCCGGCGCGCGCGTCCGCCGCCGGGGGCACCGCCACACGCCGACGAGGTGCGCCTCGCCCAGGAGCCCGACGAGTACGTCACCGACGTCACGTCATCGACCACAGACAAGTAGAGTGTTCCGCTCTAACGAGTGCTGCCCGCCCGCCTATCGAATACCTGTGGCTTCGGACCGCCACACCGCAGCACCGACTACTTGCCGTAGTTACGCAGTTCGGTGCTTCCCCGGCCCGGTCGGAGGAGGCCGTGACCTCGGGCTGGGCTGCGATTGCCTGGCCGGCGATAGCGAGGCGTAGCGGCGCGTCCGCAAGCCGCCCTGCCCTGACGCATCCCGCTCAGGGTTTTGCTCCGCTGTGATGAGTAAAGGAGAAGCGGTCTCTCTTGCACTTGCAGTGGCGTGCCCTGTGGGCGCGAGAGAGACAGAGCGGACATTGCGACCGCGTGCGCCGAGGCGAAACGAGTGATGGTGCTCTGAGAACGAGTTCCGATCGACGCCCATTGTAATGAGTCGCTTCTTTTCTCATGGCAGCGGACTGGGCGGGGAGATTAAGATGCACGCGGACGGGGACCTCGCCGCCAAGTTCAAGGGAACGCCTGACCGCCTCGCGTCCGACGTATTGGTTAAGCGACCCGATAGCCGTGGTCGCTAACGCGCTGTTTTCAAATTCAGGTACGCTGGGTTCAACTACTGAGACGAGGCATTTTGTTTTCTTCAAATTTACAAGCTCTGTTCTTGATGACGAGTGTCATCGCGGCGGCGGGGCGGCGCCGATGGCGCGCTGCGTGTTGTTGCAGCCGGTTTTGCAGCAGAAGCCCTGCGGCTGACTCCGGCCCTCCGACAAGCCCCTCCTCTCCTCGCCGCCACTCCCCTCCCGCGCCATCCCGTCCCGATCCGACAAGTCCGTGTGTTGTGTCTTCAGTGGCCGTCTGACCATGGCCGTGAGAGCAGCTTCGGACTGACCCTCCGCGAGACGACCGCGCCGTGCCGAGTCGCGCCGTCCGCGCCAGTCGAGCCGGCTTACAGTGTGTTGTTTTTGCCGCGTTTGCTCTCCGTTGCACTGATTGCGAACCGCGTCGTGCGTCTCGCTCTTCGTGTTCGAGCAGCCCTTCGTGCGTCGCGTGGTGCAGCATCAAGCTCCGTCGCCGCATCACTGTAAGCGGAGTTCTCTTCCACTGTGCCGTACTGCCGGTGTGAACCACGCAGTGTCCCCTCCGCCGCCCTGGCAAGCCTTACCGAACCTAACCTGGCTCCAGCTGACGACTGGTTGCTCTCTTCGTTCAAGGGGCGCCTTTGGACGGACCTTCAGACCAGTGTCCTGGCTCGTGCCTGCTGGCTGGACCAAGCCGGCCCCGTGCACTTAACACGTAACGCGTCGTCCTCCCCCTCCGCCGCCTCGCGGCCCGCCGCCCCGCCGCCAGTATCGTCCCAACTTTTCCACAACTTAATGCGGCAGGTGGGCGGGCCGCTTCAGCCGCTTCGCTTCAGCCGCTGGGGTCGCATTCGTCGCTAATTGCAGCCAGATTGCGCGGCTAGCAGCGGCTAGCCGGCAGGCTGGTTGCGAACCCTCGCTCCGTCTCTCTCGCGCCCCTACGCACCGCCCCGTGCGTGCGAGGGAAGCCGCGCTCTGTCTCTCTCGCACCCTTACGAGCCGCCCCGCGAGTGCGAGAGAGACAGCGGCGAAACGACTCGGCAGATAGCAGGGCTGGCAGGGTCATTGGCAGGAAGGGCGCCGCGAGCCCGTCCTAGGGCCGTCTGTGTTTCCTCGTTCTCGTGGTTGTTGACATGATCCACTCGGCTGTACAGTGTATCGCCGCGGTTTTCCCGCGTGGCGCCGCGATATCTATGACTCTGTGACGTCGCAAGGCGCGTTCCGCTCCCGATCGGCCGCTTCGGCACGCTCCAACGGCCGGTCGCATTTGGCTCGCTTTGCCTCGCTTTGCCTCGCGCTCCGCCCTTTGTTTGCTCAGCCACAAAAGCAGCGCCATGAAAATCGGAAGCCGAGCGGACAGAAAGACAGGCAGACAGACGGACAGCAGTCCGGGCGTGCGCGGACCCGGAAAGTGTTAAAGCAGTGCGAGTTAATGATGAATGAGGGGGGCAAAACTGTCCGGCAGGGAGTGGGAGTCGAACCCAGAAAGTTACTCTGGATTGCTCTGGATCGTCCACCGCATGGAGTTGTCGTCCACATTTGGCCCAGGCGATCAGTCCAGAGTCAAGCGTGGAGCCGATACGACTCGGCAACAGCAGGGCTGGCTATTTTCGCCTCGTGAATCCGACGTGTTCCGTGTTTTATGCAGCTCGAACTCCGTCCAGCTTCGCGGCTGTGGGGTACCGTTGCCGTTAGGTTAGGTCGCGGAGCGCCGTCCCTCCAATGCTGCCAACCCATTCGCGCGACGCAGCAAACCAACACGTGCGGAGTTTTTTTTCGAACTAGCTAAGAGTGCTGTTGGATTTTGGGAGCAGAGAGTGTGCGGAATATGGAGGGAAAAGCGACGTAAGTGGCCACAATGCGCAGACAGGCGGCAGACAACGAGTAATCGCTTTTCGTAGGCCATGTATCGCGCTATCGCTCAGCCTGTGGCTCAGCCAGCGACAGGCAGTTTCTTCTTTTTTTGGCGGTGGTGCGGCTGAGCCACATCATCACTCTGGCCGATTACCCTACCCGTCGGGCTGCCCTGCCGGCCCTGCCGTGCCTGCCCAGCCGTCCTGCGGACGACGCCGGCCATTGTCTCTGCTCCGGGACGCCGCCATCATCACGCCGTCTCATTATAGTCGCTCCCACTCATCCGGCGCTCCGGGATTGGCGGAGCCGGCGGAGCGCGAACGGCCAGACAAGACAAAGTTTGGACAAAGCAACTATAGCGGCGGGCCGGCCGGCCCCGGCCAGTGGCAGCCAGTGGCGCCCCAATGAGCAGCATGTGGCTCTTTGTTTTGCGGTCGTCTTTCTCGGCGTCGTTCGTCTCCGCCGTCAAAGGTGCTGCAGTGGCGCTGCACTATTCACCGTGCGATCAAAAACATTGTCGTGCTGTCAAAAATAAAACATGGTGATTTTGAAAGCGTGCTTGCACCCAGCGGCTACTGGAAAACTACGGTTGGTTCGTGCTGATGGCGTGGGCGGGCGGTGCGCCGATGCAGCCATGGGCAGGACGACCAGCGCGATGGCCATTCATGGGCGAATGTGTCTCATAAGCCGCCAAAGCACAGCGCAGCACTGCGGAGCACAGCGAAGCACAGCTAAGCACGTGACAGCGCCTCCACGCCTCGCATGCAGGCTGATTCCCCACACTGTTTTCGTCGGGCCGTCTCCCTCGCACTTCCAGGAGTCCCGCGGGGTCGCGAGAGGGACAGAAAGCCAGCCGTGTTCGGAGTGAGCCGACCTGTCGTGCCTGTCGGGCCGATTATTTGCCGGGTGGGCTCATCCCGCAGCGGCGCAGCGTCCAGGCGGACTACGTATCGCACACGCACACACTGACGCCAAAACACACACTCTCACACTAACCCAAACACACGCACAGCTCGCCGTCCTTTAGGCAACCCAGCACGTCGCTCTGTAATTACTGTTCCGAAAATGTGTGCACGCGCGCGCGTGCGTGTGTGTGTGTGCGATTTTATGTGGTAGTGAGTGCGTGTGTGTGTGGGTTTCGATGACGATTAGTGGTCGTGGCTTATTGACTGATCAGCTGATGATCTTACGGCGGCTTACTGCTGCAGTGGTGAGTGATCCAGACTGCGCCAGAAGTTGGCGCCGGGGGGAAACGATATCAAAACACGAGAGTGGAAACGTCGGGCCCGCCGTCCTGGCCACACGGCCACCGGCCCAAAGCGTGCGAAGGGAAATTTACGGGGCGTCTGCGCTGCCCATTCTGGTTGAGATTCCTCGCATAACTTGGTCAGGAAGGCGATCCCCCCTGACATGGTTTTAAATTCGGCATGAATGCCAAAACGAGCGGTGGCTCCTCCGTAGTACTACGCCCCGGACGCTGACCTGCCACTGGCGGCAGAGGGCGGCAGAGGGTGGGACTGGCGCCTCGGTCCAGCGGGTCACAGACCCGTGCTTTAGTGCGAGCGGCTGCGGAAACTTCCACGGACAAGTATCGGCGGCTAAGCGGCTACGCTCGTGTTCGCAGTTCGCAGGAGGCGGGCAGCAAGGCAAGCCGAGGCGAGCAGTGCCGTAAAACGCGCGCAACGGAGTCTGCCGGCCGCTCCACGCCGCGCTGCACGCCGAGGGGCTGGCCGGCGGGAGCCCCCGGAGCGAACACCGCGACGCGTTATCGGCTCGGCATCCGTCCCGGCCGCCCTTTTTAATTACCACCGCCTCGAAAACACAAACACGATTAGCGACACTTTCCCGAAAGTGAGATAGGCCCGGGCGGCAGTCACAACAATGAACGGGACTCGAATGAGTCTGGCGCCTTAAGGGCTCCACGTCGGTGGCGACGACGCGTTGCTCGCCGCGGCCACGGCCACGGGGCGCCTCGGTAGCGGTTCTCCCTCTTAATCAATAAAATAATCGGCAACGGGATCGCCGGGCCATGGCTGGCCGCGTCTCGCAGTGCGGCCGGGCGGGCGGCGCGGAGAGGACGGACGTCGTGGACCTCGCGAATCGGTGCGCCGCGGTGCGGTGGCCCCACTCGTTCGCCGTTCTCCCTTTCCGGCAGCCTCCTTATATCGCCTTCCGATATTCGCCGGGCCGGCCGCCCGGGGCGGTCATTAGGGCCAAGATAAACAAGGGGCGGGCGCTGCAGCGCTGCGGTCCGCCGAGGGGCGGCAGGGGGTTGCCGACGGGGAGGTCCGTCGGCGGCGGCGGAGCGTCACGCGCCCCTCAGATAGCCGCAGTGTTTTCACTTCTTCTTTCTCGCTCGTTGCAGTGCGGTCACGTCGCCGGCTCCTCGGCAGCGCGGTCAAGCGTGGCCAGCACCACCGCCAGGCCCAGGACCATGATGGCGCGGTCGCCGCTCAGGAACGTGAACGACGTGAGTCATGGAACAGGGGACGGTATTTGAACCCCGGCCCTCGGAATGTTGAGTACAATGCGTTTCCCCCGCAGATGGTGCTGGCGCTGTTGCTGCTGCTGGCGGGGGTGGGGCCGGGCGTGGGCCCGGGCGGGGCGGCGGGCCAGCTGGCGGCCAAGCCCACCAGGGGCCCGCACCCCAGCTCGCCCTGCCCCAGTGTCTTCAGCTACGAGGGCCGCGAGCCCGAGAAGAACCGCTGGTACGGCGTCATCCTGGTCACGACGGACGAGGCGCTGGACGGGCTGCGGCTCAACGTGCGCCTCACGCACCGCGCGCAGATCCTCGGTGTAAGTAGCCGAGTGCTTTCGCTCTTGCTGGCCGACTCTGAGGTCATCGGTTCGATTCCACCACGTACTTTAAATTTAATTTTTCGTTGTCGTGTAGAACTTTATCGGGGACGTGTCGACCATGGACAACGTCGAGTTCACCATCCTCAGCCTGAAGGAGAGGCTGTCGCCCGGGCCGCCACTGCCGGTGAGGATCTTCGCGGCCTTCGGCGACCGCGACGACATCCCCTACATCGCCAACATCAAGCTGAACGGCAGGACCATCTGCGGCAACAACAACCCCGTCCTCGGCCTGGACACGCGTGAGTGGCGGTGGAGTGCAACGCCCAACGCAATGTTTGTGAAAATGGGAAGCCTAACTAAAGTCTGTTTTCAGTGTCGCGGCCGCAGTCCACCCAGTCGTCCAGAGTCCAGAAGCCACCCCTCAGCCGGCCGGCGGGGGTCGGAGGAGCTGGGGGTGGCGCTGGAGGCGCGGGCAGCGCGGGCAGCGCGCAGCAATTCGACGAGGAGGTGCGGCCCCGACCTACGCCACCGCCCACCACGCCGCGCCCCACGCCGCCGCCGACGAGGGAGACGGCCACGCCGCAGGCCACCACCAGGTCCACGCCAGCCTACGACCCGGCGCCCAACGCCAACCCCGATAACTACTACTCGCCCAGCTCGGTAAGCGTCTTGGAGGACGGGTTGGGGGATGGGGGTTCCCTTGCAGCTGGACTAACCACCCCGTCTTCGCAGATGGGCAGTCCCAACGACTCGCCGTCGTTCAGCAGCAGCAACAGGAGGAACCCCGAGCAGTTCGACGCCAAGCGTCCCGCGGCCGCGCGCCCCGTCGACGACGCGTACCAGCCGCAGCCCAACTACACCAGCACGACGGAGGGCGAGCGCGGCGTGTACCGGCCCACCACGGAACGCCACCAGAAGCCCACCACGGAGCGGCCCGCGCCCGTGTACACCACCAAGTACGCACCGAGCACGGAGCGCGACGCGTACCCGACGACGCGCACCACCCTGCCGCCGCGGCCGCCCGCGCCGTCCAGGCCGGTGCCAAGCTCGGCAGACCGAAGGTAAGGCCCCCCCAACCCCGAGATCGTGGGTTCGAATCCCCGCTCAACAACCCCTTTGTCGGCAGGCCCGCGCCCATGGACGTGGACATGTCGCCGCAGCCGTGGCCGACGTCCAACTACGACGAGCCGGCGTCGCGGCCGCGGCCTGACGCTAGGCCCGACGCCAGGCCCGACGCCAGGCCCGACGCCAGGCCGGCGCCGTCGCCGTCGCGGACGCGCAGCCAGCGCTCCACGTGCGGCACGGTGGCGCCGCCCGCCACGCCGCTCATCATCAACGGGGAGACGTCCATCCCCGGCAAGTGGCCCTGGCACGTGGCGCTCTACAAGCCGCACGGCCGCGACTGGAAGTACCAGTGTGGCGGCTCCCTCGTCAGCCCCACCGTCGTCGTCACCGGTCAGTACCTCCATTGCCAGCGCGGGAAAATGGAAATCCGCTTTATTTTTGCCGCCGAAGTCGCCACTGCAGCAGCAGCGTGTTGCCTGCAGTGTCTCTGGCTGGCGCCCACAGACGCTGCAAGGCGGCAGCTGGAGTCCAACTTGCGGCGTAGCCAAAGTTTTTGAGGCAAGACCACGACGAATTTTAAGACACTGCCCGCGCGCCACCGGCCCCGCGACCGACACGCGCCTCGGGCATTTAAGCAGAAGCGCGCGCTCGCCGGGGAATGACCTGCAGACGACACGAGCCCGCTTTTGGCGCGCGGAATTCAAAATGCGAAATCTGTTTTCCGTGTGTTGCAGCGGCGCACTGCGTGACGACGACCGTGGGCAGGCCCGTCGGCCCCGAATCGCTGCTCGTCTTCCTGGGCAAGCACGCCCTGAGGACGACCTCCGAGGACGGCGTGCAGGACAAACACGTGAGTGCCGAACGGACCGGGGCCTGGGCCTTGGCCTCCCCGTCCCGTTGTGTTTCCCTTTGCCGGGAGGTGCAGCGCCGCGCAGCGCGCCATTTGCTGTGTTTCCTCAGCAAATTTACTGCGCTTGCCGGCGGGTCTCAGGCCAGCCACGCCGCCCTTGCCCTCTCTCTCTCTCTCATCTCACCCCCATCCTCGGGGAGTCCTTACCAACTCCCCTCGTCGAGTTGTTGGCTCGCTAACTTCTGCCGAGGGGGGCGACTGGGGGCGACCGGGGTCCACGGCCCGCCACCCTCAAGGAGACTTGCTTCTTCTTTAGGCCTTTAGGTCGGTGAAATGTTTCAGCCGTTAAGTGCTCCTCCCTGTCCTCCAGGTGTACTTCATCCACGTGCACCCCGAGTACAACTACACCAACTACCGCAACGACATCGCCGTGCTCATCCTGTCCAGCCCCGCCACCATCACGTCGGCCGTGCGCCCGGTCTGCCTCTGGGACAAGGAGAAGACGGACCTGTCCAACGTCGAGGGCAAATTCGGCACGGTGAGGCACCGCGGGGCACCGCCACCATGCCGTCCATACCCCGCGCTTGTCTCGCTCGCCGTCTCCATGCACGTGCTTAAGGCAGAAAGTCTCTCGGGGCGTGGGGTATATCCACTTATGTCGCGCACGCACGCTGGCCTTGGCCGCCGGCGTGATATCGGCAGTCTCTGAGGCGCGGAGTATGACCGATTGGTTGTGTGTTCACGCAGGTGGTCGGCTGGCGGACGGACCTCGCCCTGCCCGAGTCAGACAAGGTATGGACCCCAAGTGGCGCCGTGGCACGCCGTGGCACGCCGTGGTGCGACCCGGAGGGCGGCGCCCCGGCGGCGGCGCCCGCCGAATCAAAGCTTTCAAAACATTTCTCAGCGTCTGTCAGTCTTGTCAGTTTCGTTTAATGGTAGCGTGTCAACAGTGCGCCTCTTGCCTGGCACTTCCATATCCTGTTGCTGTGGTGTAAAACTGTTCGGCTTCGACGAGCTGCCAAACTTGGGGTCCATAGTGACAATAGTACTCGCACAAGAAATTATTTGTAATAAATCTTTTATTTTTTGTGACTTTTGTTTCGATTGGGCGCATTTATCAACGCTGCCGCCTTCTTGCCCTGCCTTCTGCTCCACTCGTCTTCCAAACTGTCTTTTTTCCTCCTCTCTTGGCCTGATGACGGCGCCTTGGCCACCACCACAGCCAGGAAAAAACCTGGCCTCCCTCAAGGATGCCCCTCGCGTGCGGCCCGCCCTTCATTTGAGCTTAATTTGGACAGGTGGTTGGCTGGGGCATCGAGACGGACGGCCTGCTCACGGAGGAGCTGCACCAGGCCCTCATGCCCGTGGTGTCGCCCGCCATCTGCGTCTACAGCTACCCGTCCTTCTTCGGCGTCTACACCAACAACCAGACCTACTGCGCGGGCTACTCGCCGGACCAGCCAGCCGCAGGTGAGCAACCCACTGCCAGATCGAAGTAGGCCTCCTTGGTGGCGGCTAGATCGACGGCGGGCTTCCTGGTTGAGACTTAAGACTGACTCTGAACTGCCCGCAGGGACGAGCGTGTGCAACGGCGACAGCGGCGGAGGCATGTTCTTCAAGAGGGACGAGGACGTCCCCGACGACGAGGCCGTGTGGATGCTGCGCGGACTGGTCAGCCTCTCGGTGCGCACCAAGCAGGACCGCTGCGACCCCAGCCACTTCGTCGTGTTCACGGACGTGGCCAAGTACGTCGACTGGCTGGAGAACTTCCTCATTCCCTGAACGGCCTGAGCGAGCGAGCCCTCTCCTTCGAGGGCTGTGGACGGTCCAGTGATCTGTGATGCGCGGCTTCATCCGCGTCTTACTTTTATTTTAGTTTTTTAGGGGGAGCTGTCCATTCAACCTAACATGCACCCTTCCAGCCTGCATCAGTTTCTTACAATGTTATCACGTTTTTTGTTTGCAACGTCGTTTCGCTCGATGGAATGCTTTCTTTCTCATGTTTGCCATTTTGTTTCGGGACGATTTTTTATTTAGTCCTATTATTTATTGTTGCACATGAGTCAGCCTGAACGATGGGTCACTTTTGTTTTTTGTTGAATTTCCTGGGTGCATTTTTTTTTTCCAAATGCATGCCCTGTGCACTGCGAATCCCCAGGTGAAAAAGTCTGATGAAATGTGACGGCAGACTTGCGTGGTATTATAGTGTGTTGAGGAGGAGTGTGTGTGATATTCAGTGTGAATGTGTATTTATGTATGAATGTGACAGTATGAATGTGATGATGGAAAAAAAGGATCGTGTGATATATTAGAAACAACTAACCGCATTCGAGTTAGTTAAAAAAAACGACACAAGTTATTTACCTTGTTCCCACCGCAATGTGTACTGATTTATTTATTGTTTAACGCGGTAGTGGCGCAGTACGCCACATTTTTGTTACGCGTGGACTGTTTCAAACGTGATTAGTACCGAAGCCCTAGGGCCAGAGCTGTTGGTTTCACTGTTGACTCACTGCTAGTCTCAAAACTCTTTTCTGTTTCCCTTGAGGAAAGTGTTCAAAGTACCATTCGAAAGACTGCAACCTAAAACAGCGATTGTCTTCGAACTTCAACCTAAAACGGATCTCTTGAAATAAACAAAGTACCTCAACATATAAGTTGGAGAGAACAGAAATTATTATTCACAATTGAGAGTACGTTCAATAAAATCTGCCCATTTTAATGAAATAGTGAACTGTGTTTCGCTGCCATCACCGCTCCGCACGCACCCTCGGTCGAGCCTCAGGTAGTCAAGACACAGGAACGCCTGTGCGGTAGGCATCCCATCGTGCACCACGCCGAGCACATAAACTCTCCGAACATCATCAGCGTCGCGTCTGCCGATTAAATTTGCTTTTTCTGGGAAGTTCGAACGGCTCGGACTTGTTGTCGGCCAGCAGCGGCAGGCTCGTAAACTCGATGCACCCATTTCAAGCTCACTTTGGCAGTGGCGTCGGCATGGAAATGGAGTTCGGTGCACACACACATACACACAGGCGCACACACAAACCCGTTTGTTGACGCGCGGAAGATGGGGAAGGCCCAGCACCAATCTGACCACGCCTCCGATGTAGCTTCTGCTTGGATAATCATTCCGCAGGCTCAGGGAGTCGAAACACACCCAGCGTATCAGTTCGGACACTACTTGCTTTCCCACTCCCCTCACCAGTGTGAGGCTGTCTCACTCGCACCCACGGGGCTGACCTCCGAACGCGTTTCCGTTAAACGGTTCCGCGTCTCGGCAACAATTATTCGCCGTCCCGCTGCATTGCACGGCCGAGTGCCTCGGACTGCCTGCAACGCATGATGCATGCTGACTAGTGACCGACGGCTCCCCATCGGCCGTCGGAGCGTCAATCCGTCGCGGGCTCAATCGGAGCGCTGCTTTCGTCGCCCTGTCTCTCTCGCACTCGTGGGGCGCCCCTCGGGGGTGCGAGAGAGACAGGGCGACGCTGTCCGGGCCGTCCGGCCTCCAGCCCCGCGGCCTTGTTCACCTGCTGCAGCGTGGTGCAGCGCGCGCGGTCTGCCTCAAAGCATACAGTGGCGGAGCGCGCAGCCAGGACACGGCATTGACGGCGACAAAGCGAGCCTCTCGGGGCAGCCGGGCAAGGCCGGCCATGAGTGGTGTTTGCGTGCGTATGTGTGTGTGTGTACACTCACGTGTGTACACTACGCGAGTGCGCAAGTGCGTGCGAAGGGGATGGCGGCGCGCGGCGTGTGTTTTGACACGCGGAGACCGCAGTGCGGTGGACAGCGGCGGCGGACTTGAACGCCGCGATGCGCTGTTCGTCCGTTCTCGCTTCCTGGTCAAAGCGAGCGACAAAGACAGTGTCTCATCAGTCGGTGCGCTGCGGTCGCGGTGCCGCAACGGCGGGGGCGTAAGGGGATCGGAATTCCCTGGCCAGGCCTGGCCTTGCTGCGGGGGCTCCTCGAAGCTCTTCATTTCCCCGCAACACCGATATTGGCATCCCCTCGTCATAATCAACCCCCCCCCCCCCCCACCCCCCGAGCAGCCGCGACGTTCGACGGCCCAGTTTCTCGGCGGGCTCCGCAAAATCCTTCGGTAAAAACTAATGAGGGCAGAGGGCACACAGCAATAATAGGGGCCTGGGCATCATTAAAAAGTTGACTGCCGTGTTTAAGCAGCCACTGCCGCCGTGGCCTAGTGTAGTACCCGTGGCCTACCCCGATGCCGCCCCCCCCCCCTTTTCTCTAGCAGAGCAGAAGATGTGGTAGGTCCGGAAATCCGAATCCGAGTCACAGGGTAAGAGTCGCTGCGAAAGGGGACGTTTCGCCGCCACTGTCGCCCCGCCCCGCCCCGACCCGCCCCGTCAGACGCGCGGAGACTTCGCCGACGGTTGTTCGCGGTTTGCGGAAGTGACGGCGTGATTTATTCAGCGGCACGAGACTCGGAGTCACGGAGTGGCACGGAGTGGCTGCTGGGCTGCGCTGGAGGAAAGCAGGCGGCCTGGAGGCCTGGAGAATGATTCCGCACTGCGTTTCGACGCTCTGTCCCTCTCCCACCAATACGGGGCGCCCCACGAGTGCGAGAGGGACAGAGCGACGAAAGCTATGTTCGGAGTCACTCAGCTGGAAAACGGCACACATCAATCTTTTCCTCTTTCACATCTTTTTCACTTTCGTGTCGTTTTTTCTCCTTTTTCACATCTTTTTCTGTGGGCAGCGGCGATGAGGGGCGAATGTGTGTGATGGCATACGGCATAGCGATGGGTGACATTTCCATGTCAAGGTGGATCGGCTCGGCTCGGCTCGGCTCGGCTCGGCTCGGCTCGGCTCGCGGGCGCCCGGTGGGGCGGCTGGGGCGTTGCGCTCGCGTATGCATTCATACATTGCATAAGCCCGGTGTGTGTGCAGCGGTGCGGCGGTGCGTGAGGGGGGCCAGTCGCCCCAAAACGGCCCGGCACGGCGCATGTCCACCCAAAGTCGGCAAATTCGCATCTTTCAGAGCTCAATCACTTTTAGACCGACTTTGCTCGGCAGTCGCGTGAGCGTGAAGCCGGCACTATTTTCGGCCGTGACATTACGAGGCGCGATTTTCTCGCCAAGTCGTCGCCGTGACGACGCTCTTGCCGCTCATGTCCACCACCCACCGGCGCTAATCAGCGTCTTAGCACCCGGCAGCAAGAGCGTAGTGAAGGGCGCAGCAGCAGCGGCAACAACAACCACAACAACAACAACAACAACAACAACGAAGACGAAGACAACGATGACTCTGATAGTTACCCAATTTTTTTTTCCTGCTGCATCACCCACTTCGAAGATGATACCTTTGGGCAGGATCGGCCAACCTTTATTTTTGTTGTTCCGCTTCCGAGCAATAACGCGGCATAATAGGCGGGCATTTTCGGCAGTGCGGCGCTCATTCCGAGTCCCCGCCTCCCTATATTACGACAGTGTAGACGACTTGGATCGGCTCCAAATGGGTCCGCCTCGCGCCCCGCCGTTCGGTTTGTTCGGCGCGGTGCGGGACGCGGCCTGCTGGACGACCAGGACGGCCTGTTGCACCACCGCGACGACGCGACGACGACGACGCGACCGGTCGTGAACCTCGACGCGGATCGCGGGTTTCTTTCCAGCTTGTGAGGTTGTTTCATTTGGGTTTCATTCTTATTCATACCGTTTGTTATGTATTCCTGTTGGTAGTTGCCGGGGCGCTCCCCCCCTCCCCTTTTTCCAGCGCTTGCCGGCACCCTAGAAACTGATAAGCACGACGCCGATCGACGACGATATTGAGATCGCCTTGATGCGGCGCCGTTTAGAGCGAGGCGTTTGCACGGTCATTCCTAGAGCTTCGGCGGCCCGTTCCGCTCCCGTGCCGAGGCCGAGGACGCGTCGCACACACTGGGAAAAAAGGTCGCGGAGCGCGGAGCCTTGCGGGCCTGGCGCATCGTGTCCAGGACATTAATGACATTTGCGCTATGCGCACGCAGTCGGACGCAGTCTCACATCCTGCGACTGGAGCGCGCAGGGCCGGCGGGGCCGGCGGGGCCGAACGCACCCAAGCCTGGCGGCACGGCGACAGCGCGGACAGCGCGTCACGTTGACGGCGATGACGGCCGACCCTGCGCCCGGCATGCACAGCTCACGCAGGGAAAGGGAAAACACGAAAATGACGAACCACACACGACGGTGTTGTACCACGTTGCACCCGCAGCTTATCACCAAAATTAAACTTCAGAAAATTTGTGGAAAATCTTGTTTCCTGAGTAGATAAAATACAGGTTGCTAAATAGCCTATTTACTGTTGTGTTTTTTTTCGCAATCCGTAACTCCTTGCTAACTACGAGGCAGATCCACCGGTCAACAACTGCCTTCATAATGTGCAGACTCACTCTCTCACATACTACACTCTCACTCACACACTCTCGCACACTCACAGACATGCAGGCGGAGGGGCGGGAGACCGCGGCGGTGGTGGGGGAGTATCGAACCGCGAAGCCAGCAGCCCGCCGTGCGATGTCCCCGCCGCAGACTCCAGTCGTTTGCTGACCGCCCGAGCAAAGACACCAACTTCAGGTGCGTACCAGGAGACCTCCAAGGAGACCGGCCGCGCCTCAGTGTGTGTCTTCTTTGTGCCTTGGTGTCCGAGCAGCCTACGAGCAGTGCTAAGGCCTTTCCCGCCAACCCGCAGAAAGATTACCCGGTTCGGCCGCAGCTCAGCAAAGTGCCCACTTTGATTCAGTCAGTGCGTTTGTGCTCTTCTTGACGCACTCACGCCTTTGCCCTTAGAACGACGGGGCTCCAGCGGCCCCGGGCTTTGCTTCACTACGCGCGCCGCGTGGTCACGGAGACTTGAACGCACCGAGGCGGCTAAAGCCCCGAGCGTGACAGCCATCCTAGGTTCCGCGTGACGTCAGCGGCGGCGGCCGGGTCATAGCCCTTCGACCGCGCCGTGGGCCTGCTGGGCCTGCTGGGCCTGCTGGGCCTTCCCCGCAGGGAATCCCCCTCCCCCTCGCCCCGCCCCGTGGCGCCCCGCAGCCAGTCGCGCGGAGGACGGGCATCTTCCGCGTGGCCTTGGCCAGCCTTGGCGCTGCCTTGCCTGGGGCTGGACGAGCTGGCCGAGCTGGAGGAGCTGGACCCGCAGCGTCGCGTGCACGCCGAGGCGCCGGCGTCGCGGCGCCCCCGGGCCCAGCGGCCAATCACGCACTGCTTATCATCGCACGCAATGCCGGCCAAGTTTGGGACTGATGACTAAGATTACCGGCCGTGGACCCAGCCGGTGGTGCTCTTCTGTTTTGCCTCCGGAAATGGCAGGGCTGGCATCATCGGTGCGGCCTTTTCGGGTTCTGTGTGTCCTGTTTCCCTGGGCCCTGGGTCCCCACTCGTCCTTGGCGGCCGCGGCACCGCGACGCCGCGGCGCGACCGAGCGTGAGCGTCCCGACCGGTTCGGGTGGTTTGTTTATCACTCTCGCACTCGCGCGTTCGGCTGGGCTCGACTCGGCTCGAGCTGCAGGCGGTGTTGCAACCGACGATAAAGAGCTCTGGGCTGCTTGGCACTGCTTCGCACTGCTTGGTCTCCTCCTTGACGTCACTGACGTGATCGTCGTCCTTCTCCTCCCCCAGGATGCAGGCCCTCCGACTCGTGGTGCTGGTGTCAGCGGTGTGCCTGGCGCACGCCTACAGGTCCGGCGCGCCCCCAGAAGCCTGCTCCGACATGGTGCCCCAGCACCACACGCCGCCCCAGACCGGCAGGTTCCCCTACACCGTGCGCGCCTCCGCCACCAAGGCCGCCGGCACCGCCATCGTCACCGTCACCGGCCCCGAGACCTTCAAGGGCTTCATGGTGCAGTGCCGCGTCGGCAACGCCCCCGTCGGCAAGTTCATCAACCCGCCCTCCAACGTCAAGGTCATCGACTGCGGCAGCGGCAAGGGGGTAAGTAAAAAGACTTTAGTCTTCCGAAAATAAAAATTTAAAAGCCACCAAAAACCTAACTTTTTAAAAAAATGTTTGTTTCTAGACCACCGCCACGCACAACGACGACAGCGAGAAGAAGGAGATCGTCCTCACGTGGAAGGCCCCGCCAAACCTCAAGGAGAAGGTCACCTGCCTGTGAGTAGCCTTCCCAGCCGCTGTGCTGTTGCCTATTGATAAGCGGTGACTTTCCAGGAAGCCTAAACTGGCGATCTTGCCGGAGCGTGGCGGAGCGTGGGAACGCCTTAACTGCAATCACCCAGCCGCGTTTTTGTTAGTATGATCGCCTGACTTGCGGTCGACGATCGGATAAAAAGATCCGCATTTTATTCATTTGTTTTGCGCAAAGGCTAAACAGTTATCTTGCGACAAGCGCCCGGCCGATAGGCCACCCACTCTACACCCCTCGTCTGCAGAGCTTTAGAGGAACGAAACAAAATTCCTTGAGGGTGGAATTTTCTATTTGAAGGGCTTCTCTGTACAATCCAAGTCTCTATGCAGCACCCCTGCTCTAGCTCTAGTCTGCTACAGTGTACTAACTAATATTTTGGTGTGTTACAGGGCAACTGTGGCCAAGAACGGTGGAGAATTCTGGGTTCGCCAGCCAGCAAATGTGATTTCTTTCTAACTGCGCGTTCAGGGCGCAACTTCTTACATGCAACATGCAGTGAAAACGACGACACCAACTCATCATGCAAAATGGAACATCCATTAAAGTCCAGTGGAATGTAGACATAAATCATTTTAAGACTGTTTTGGGCCCAAGCTTCCCATTAACAGGAATGCAAAGGGCAAACCATTGATACTGTTTTGTTTCTGATGCCAAAGAGAGGAAGCTCTCCATCTCTATTAACACTCTTAATGACTTACATTATGACTTTGTACTTTACGTGTTTGTATTTGGGTATAAATAAGACAATGACAACTAAATGTTGTTGTTTTTTTTGTTTTAATGACCACAACAGCACTGACAAATTCTTAACAAATAGGAAATTATTCTGACACATTCACATGCCACAAAGATGTTCTCAATTATTTTGGCAGTATCTAAAGTCACAGCATTCACAGGTCGCAGTTATAAACAGCGTATCAAAATAGTGAAAAGATCAGTCATAGAGAGATCGCCTAATCCAATATTTAAGACATTTCACTCAAAACAGTTACACTCTAGACATTAAAAACCATACAGAGAACAAAATTTCATTTCAAATATTATTCTTAAAAATCAGAAAATTTACAAATAATGTTTGGAACAATTTGACAAGAAGTAGTATCTTGGGTATGCTAAAGAATTGATTGCTAAAACAAGATTCATACATTGCTCAAAGATCATAAAATTGGTTACTGCCTATAACTAACAAAACAAACAAACACAGGGTAAAAAGAGAAAAAAACATGATGCCCTTTATACCAAATGCGTGATGTTATACTTCAAAAATAAATACAAATACAAATCACTGAGCACAAATGCAAAGGAATGAAAGATCAAGCCAATCCAAAGCACAATGCACAGCCCATTTTTTTGATGATACCAAGCCTAATTCTTACAAATTAGAGGGAAAGTTGAAAGTGTGAGTGACATTCACCTTCCTTTTCACTACTTTGATGCATGACATTTTTATTGAGTTATTTTTTGTTAATTTAAAAAAGTAATAGAACTTTAGATGGCCTTTGTTTCTTAAACAATTGACTGAAACCTTACACTATTTAACATGACTTAGATTACATGCAAAAAATACACCGGTAATAGAAGTTTCATTTTAAGGAAAAACGTTGTATTGGGAGTAACTTCATAGTAGGTTGGTTACAAGCTTATTGGTCCTTGCTTATCAACAGCTAAGTGCATTGTATTATGCTCTTAAAGGAGAAATGTTACAGGTAATATGAATTCAACACAGCTCTGAAATAAGAGCTAAGGAATTTACCAACTGGTATAAATGTATGTTAAAATGAAAGAATGACACCCAGGGCAAAACAATCTTTTAAAGCAGGAAATGGGCATAAACAGAACAGGAGTGTGGAGGAACTAGAAAGGAGCAATCACTTGGGCTTTTTTTCACATAAGCAGAGTTATTAAGAAACTCACAGGTTCAAAGTTAATATAAATATCACAATTACACACCAATTTGATTCAAAATCTAAGGGTTTTATGTGACAACGCGACATGAAAGAAAAATATTGCCTTGCCTTTAGAAGACCATGCAATGCACAAAAGCATGTGTGTAATGAAGCCAAAAATTTTGACCCCCTTATAATTTTGTACTATCTAGGTATGTCATCTTCTGTTGCAAAACAGTTATTATTTCTAGCACCGAGTCTTCATAGCTTTCCGATAGTTTGGCACTAACATTCACAGAATATCCTTTGTCCTTGTTTTTTCTGTTTTCATAACTAAGCACGAGCTGAGCCATGCCGGTGCTTAAAGCACTGATGTCATCTGGGCCAATGGTTGGAAGAGTTCCAACAGCTGGGACTCGACAGACGGTCCCTTCTTTGATTGAATTGGCTGTTATCAATGGGGCTTGAGAATGGAATGCCTCCACTGAGATGCGTAGACGGAGGTTCCCTAGAGCTGTGTGAAGTTCAGTGGCAATAGCTTGAATTTCAGACATAAATTTATTGTGTGCCTCCACAATTTCTGGGCACTGAGCAGACTGCAAAGAAAAATTGAGTACATCAGAATAGAACACAATCCAAAGGAACATTATTAAATCCATGAAACAAACACGTGTTTTTTTCTCACCCCAGCTTTTTGTTTCCTCTTGGCTTTTTTGTTGGCTGCCTGCTTTGCTGACTCCAGAATGTTGTTTATGACCCCACACAATACTACAGCAAGGCACACCATCTGTAAAGGCAAACAAAAGAGTTTTTATTAGAAACTGCCAAGAATAAGACGAGCTGTAAAACAACTCATGTATTACAATTGATACATCAAACATGACAAGGTCACAGCATTTACCTCAACTACATTAACTGCACGTTCGAAGACTGCTCGCCTTGTATTAAGAGACACACATTTAGCTTCCAGCACTGATTTAATAGCACTTTGTACGCTGCTCTGAAGGATTGAAGTTGCTCGACTGCCAACTTCAGTAAATGCTTTAGTTTTATCTTCATCAGCAGTGCTGCGAATGAGTGTGGATATCAAAGAGAATAATTCCAGTTGAAGCTGAACGGAATTTGTCTCCAAGTAATCATAAATTCGGGATGGCAGTGGTGCACCAATTATTTTCTGCAAAATAAATATCAACTAATAATGATTCATGTACAGAAACAATGATGAAATCAATTCTTTCCGTGATACCTACAGATGAGTCCATTTTCACTGCTTCTGCTTCTGCACACTGCAAGGTGCTTTTCAATTCGGAAGTAACCTTCTCCAGTGATATAAGAGGGTGTTGAGGTGAAGCATTTCCATTAACAGTACTGTTATTGCTATCACTCTTGTTGACCTTGGACTCTTCAGGTGGGAGCAATGAGTCTATACTGCACAGCTCTGCTGCTGCACCAAGGCCCCGCAAAAGCAGCATACGCAGCCTTACAAAGGCCAAGTCAGCATCACGAGTTTTTGTAGTCAAATCAGCACTAACTTGCCTGTCAAATTAATGGATGTTATGCACAGTTAGTTCGTCAAGAGACATTTCAATTTAAAACAAAAAGAAAAGTCAAGGAGGAAAAAAATCACCTTTCTGGAGGATCCCAGCACGCATATGCTGTAAGATCTCTATTATCTGTCATTCTTCGCCAATCCATTTTATCCTTTTCAGCTTGGATTTCCATCTGACTAATGACCTATACGTAATTTTATTGGATTCATTAGTTTGTTCAAACCTTGCAATTATATAATTAAGATGAGATTGAAAGATACCTTTAGCATTTGAGGATGGGCTGTACTTTGAAGTATGTCAAGAAGCATTCTCTCCACTGTGACCAAAGCATAGTGAACTGAACTGCTTAATCTCTCTCTGAATTCCACAAATTCTTCAATTTTCATGAAAGATCCAAATTTATACGTGAAAGAGAGGTAATCGACACTCTGCAAAACAAAAATACAAATATCAGATATGCAAAGAATATTGATGTGATTTTGGTGGTAAATTGCAAAGATATCACTGTGAAACAAGTGAGATAGAACTTACATCTTTGTAGTTGACAGTGAAAAAGCGCAAAGTAACGTCATACAAGCTGCTTGCAACACCATATTGGCCTGTTGCTTGAACAGCTCCACCGTGTATGTATCCAAGTGAATCTAGCTGCATGTGCTTGATATCCAATGTTTCATAAACATCATGGGCAGCCGCACCAGCACCTGTGAATCAATGACCATTAGAGTCAATGTACAATAAATCAATCAATGAACTCAATTAACAAGAAGGCTACAAAATCTTCACAACTAGGTTACTTACCAAGAATATGGTAACATTTCACAAGTAGAAGTTTAAAGTGGAAATTGGATGGAGACATCAGTAATGCATGCTCAAGAAGAAGTAATACATCTAGCAGTCTGGAATTATCTTGAGTTTCCACCCATACATCATATAACAAGTGAGCCATTAGTAACACATAAGAATCATTGCTCCTGAAACACAAAGCGAAAATTCATAAATACACAAGTGATAGTAAGATACATAACTTAAACATTTGTTCAAAAGAAATTACGAACAGAAAATCTGTAGGGAGGGGATCTATATTGAACCGCATGCCATGTTGGAAGTAGCGTAAAAAGCAAGTGGTCAATTGTAACTTCTCAGCAGATGATAGACTTTCATGGTAACCAAGATGACGGCTGAGAAGAATTGTTGATATATGTTGTTGCATTCGATACACCTGAAATGAAAGAATAAGAGTAAGAAGTACAGTTTTATAATGTGATTCCAATGTGACCAGTACAATAAAAAATGTGTTACAATACTTACTGTATCAGGCAGTTCTCCATCCTCTAAACCAACTATCTGCCAGATACCCTTGATGAAGTCTCCACGACACTGGACAGGTATCAATGGTAAATATTGCTTTAAATCTAATGGACAACAACTACGATCTCCAAAGCGACGGAAATACTGCACGAAGAGTTCTATAATGTCACCTGTCCAATAAACAAATTTTTAGAGGGGGTTGGACTACTAACATAGTTTCCAAAAATATTTAGAGACTGATTGGGTCAAATAACTTACCAACTAGTTGATCAGCATCTTGGCCCTTTTCGTGCACCATCTTGTAAAGCTCAAGCCAAGCAAGGTAAGGTCCCCGGACAGTCTTACCCCTTCTCTTCATTTCAGTCATAAGCAAGTTCAAGAACTCCTTAATTTGGGGAATACTTGAATCGGCTCGGCTCCAAAGAACATATTCAACTGAAATCGAACAAACAAATATAAGGAATGATCGAACCCTATATAAAATAACAGTTGAGGGTGATAAACATTACCATCTGATGATGTCAAGTCTTCTCCATCTTCCATTAAATACATGGCGGAAGTGAGGTAGTTCTTAATTGAAAGCCAATGATCCAAGCTAGAGAAAACAGAAAACAATGAAAATAAAACCATGATGTATATAAAGAAAGAACACAAGTAAATTTAACTTGTTTTAACTTATTTAATTTTTTTTTTATTGATTATTTATTCTATGCTTACTTTTCTCTTAAGTGAGATTTACTTATAACAATGGAATCCTTCCATCGCTTTAACTTCACATAAAGACTTGCTTTCTTCTGAGGAACTGTCACATAAGAGATCAGTCGCTCACCCATGGGACCTTCAACAACTTCCAAGGCTTCTTTGTATTTCTCCTAGAAAGAAAAATCTGCACATTAATCTCTTGGTACATCAATTTATTTAATTTAAGAAAGAAAAAAGTCTTATTTTACCTGCTTTTCTAAGATTAGCAAATACAGTTGGACTTCCTGTTCTGCTTCAATTTTACCCTCATCTATGAACTTCTGTACCATTCTTTCAGCTAATGGTAATGTTACCATACGAGCTAGTTTTTCATCAGCATGATAGGCCTGTGATGCACATAAAATGTTTAGAATAGTCTACACATCAGTGCTAACCTATTGCCTCAGGCCAACAGTCACAAACTTACTTGCATGACAACACTCATGACTGCCCAAAAGTAGTATGGATTCTTGGGTTTGACTTTGTACAAGCGCAAAGCTGTTTGTTGCTGTTGCTTGTAATCCCCAAGTCGAACATGAGCCATGAACAAATTTGTCAAAATCTCTTCATTAGTTGGGTCCTTTCTAGAGGCAGCATCGTACATTTCACAAATCTTGTTGGCTGCAAAATTAACAATCAAAGCCCAATTACAACATTTGAGACAAATTTGGGTTAAAAATACTTGTAAATGATTGCAAATGCAGCTTACGTTGCTGAGTTTCACGGTAACAAATTTGCATGGCTTGTAGAGTCTGATCGTCAATGGGCACCTCCTTCTGAACAGCCTCTAAGAGCTCATGACACTCATCTTCTTTACCTAATCTCAACAAAGCCAGAGCCTTCAAGACCTGTTAACAGTGAAATATAAATTTATTGTGATTTGAAATTTGACTGATTTTCTTTACACCTTTGGATAACATACGACAATATAAACCAAAGCATACCATACCTTAACACACAAAAAGTCTGGTTGTTTTTTGAGGACCTTTCCTGCTTCTTGTAAGGCATTTTTGTTATTACCATTGTCAAGCCAATCTAGAACAGATATTTCACAGGTCAGGCACATGCAATAATGACATCCGTTAAGTTAAGAAGCATAAGCAAACATGTTGTTTGATTGAGAATTTTTTATCTTTTCATACAGTGTGCCCAGAAGTTTAAATTAAGTATGAATCGGCAGCTACTCCATTCAAAGGTTTGCCTCCATGCAGACAAACTTTAACCGTATCGAGTAATTCAAACTTGACATAGATTGAGATAAGCTTCCACGTATTTTAATAGGTGTAGAAAACATAATGAAACTGCTGCAATTTATAGCAAATAGGAATTTTCATTTCAACATAATAGAGAGCATTGGGTCTTCAGAGAGAGTGTAGGTTAGGGGACCCGCTGGGTGGTAGCAAAGAGAGCAGCCCAATCTTACTGACTCAAGAATCGAAACGTTCAATGATAATCACCGTCTGATACACAATAAAAGTTCAGGCTTTCAAAATATAGGGAAAAGTACGTTAAATCAAAGGTGACCTCATGAACGCCGGAACGCGAAGTGCAGGTGACCAGTGAAGAAAGAAGAAACGGAATGTCACACAGTGGAACCAATTTGAGGTGCTGGGTCTTGTCCGATGCTTAGTTTATTTTCTTACCGTAAATTTGTCGGAGTCTTCTTTCTCCGACACTATTGTCCACATGCGATTTAGGTAATTTTGGTTTCGGAGCCATGTTTATGCTGCAGTTACCATACTCGCCGCGGGGCGCGCTGTGCTCGAGGGCTGCGTTCGAGGAAGACTTTCGGGTGTCGTTCGCTCTCTTTGTGTTGCCGCTCCAGAAATGCGAAGGACAAAGAGACCGGGATGCTTTCTTCGGAGGCGCCCCGCACCGCGATGCGCTTTTGTTCCTTAAAGCGGCCAGCAGCCGACGCGGGATAAAGTGTTATCTTCCAAAAACCGCCAACAGCAGTACAGAAGTGGTTTTGTTCCCTTGAAGTACTCCTCCAAGTTGTTACTTTTCTTTACCACGGTAGACCAACAAGTTTCACGCATGTACTTTTGTCTGTATATTTAACTGCAGTCGTGGTTTTTAATGGTCATGAACGTAGTATGATGTGGGTCAAAGGTTTTCGAACATGTCTTGGCACAGGGCAAAGAAAGCACGGAATGTTTAGCTACACTCTACAACAACTTTTTTTCATTTTTATTATCATCCTTATTGTCTTTTCTATACAGGCAAAGTTGGCAAACCAAAAACATCAAACGAGCAATCACGTTTGATTCGACACTGGGATCACATGGTACGTTCCGCACAGCAGCGACGGCAGCGACAGGATGGGGCGTTAAATCATATTTACAACATGGTGACGGCGAAGTGAGGCGTGGCGTGGCGCGGCGTCGTGCGGGGCAGAGCCGCGGGGCGGAGCGGGCGGCGGGTGTACTCGCGGTGTAGGTACTGCTGGTCTACTTGGCGGCGAGCAGCTCGTCCGCCTGCGTCCGCACCTCGTCCCACGACTGGCGGATGTCCTCCGAGTTGGTGTAGCGCGAGCACACCGCGAGGCGCAGGAAGTACACGTCGCGCACCTTGGACGGCACCAGGTGGATCTTGCCGTGGCCGTTGATGCGCTTCAGCAGCGCCTCGGAGGGCTCGTTGCTCGCGCCCTGGGTGGACAGAGTCCAGCGTCAGCACAACAACAACAACAACAACACAGTGGTGCGTCGACCGCCCCGCGCTGCTGGGACTTCCCCCCTCGGCGGACCTACCTTTAGCCTGAAGCAGACGAGACCGCAGATGACCTCGGCCACCACCTCGAAGCGGTCGTCGGCGCGCACCATCTCCTCGAACTCCTTGGCCAGCTTCACCTGGCCGCGGATGTGCTTCTGAAGGTTGGCCACGCCGTACAGCCGCAGCACGAACCACAGCTTGAGCGCGCGGAAACGCCGGCCCAGGGGAATCTGCCAGTGCTGCCAAGCGGACAAACGGAGACACGTTAGCGCGCGGAGGGCGAACGGAGTGCTGGCTTGCAGCAGCGGGCACTCACGCGGTAGTCCGGGGCAGAGCCCTGCTGGTCGTGCTTCAGGTACAGCGGGTCCACGTTGAAGGCGTCCACGACGTCACTGGGGTCGCGCAGCCTGGAGAAGAAAGGGAGGTTAGCCGCCTGTTGAAGGTTCGTGCAAAGTTGCTCCTCACTAAAGTGCGATCCGCCAACCTAGGAGCGAGCGCGTTCTGGAGCCCCGCCAGTAACGGGCATTAATTAAAAAGTAGCATGCAGATCGGGCAAGGCGCTCACCACATGGCCGAGCAGTCGAAGTTGACGAGCATCCACTTGTGGGGGTTGAAGTTGAACGAGTCGGCGCGCTGCACGCCCGCCATGAGGTGCCGGAACTCGGGGCAGATGAAGGCCGAGCCGGCGTAGGCGGCGTCCACGTGCAGCCACACCTTCTCCTCCTCAGCGACGCGGCCCAGCTCCTCCAGGTTGTCGAAGGCGCAGGTGCAGGTGGTGCCGAGCGTGGCCACGGCGTAGAACGGGATTAGGCCGGCGGCGCGGTCCTCCTCGATGGCCTTCTTCAGCGTGTCCCCGCGCAGGGCGTAGTTGTCGTCGGCGGGCAGCAGGCGCAGGCGGACGCCGCCCAGGAGCCCGGCGCGCTCCACCGACGAGTGGGCCTGGTCTGCAACACGCCAGCGCGAGGGCTCAGCATCAAGGGTGTGTTGCCCCGCGTGTGTTGCCGGGGTCCTCGGCTCAGAGCCCCTGCAGACCTCGGGGTAGGCACGCCCGTAACGCACGCGTGCGCGGCGTGGTGCCTACGCCGCAGGCTGAAGGGACTCCAGCCTCGAGCACTTGGAGTTGAGCGGGAAGCCGCGCGCGAACGAAAACAACCCCCTCGGCCACCGCGACGTCCCCGACGTCCCCGCTGGCACTAATTGTGCGCACGGGGCGAAGCCTGGCCGGCCTGGCGGGGCTGCTTTAGGCGACGCCCCGGCGATAAGTGAGTTAGGCCATCCCATCAACTCCAGTCATGATACAATTAGCAGTGCCACCCGGCACGGGGCGGGCGGACGGACAGGCCGACAGGCCGACAGACAGGCAGACTCACCCGACGCGTAGCCCACGAGCTTGGAGACGATGTCGGACTCGGCGAGCTCGGGGCGCTCCTTCTTGGCGTTGCGCAGCGCGCGGGCCTTGGCGCCGAGCAGGGCGACGAGCGTGGCCTCGCTGGCCGTGCCCTGGATCACGCCGCCGCCCTTGCCGCCGCTGCAGGCCAGGAACTCGGGCGGCAGGTCCAGCATCTTGCCCAGCCAGTCCAGCATCACCACCTCCAGCTCGGTGCAGGCCGGGCTGGCGATCCAGGTGAAGCCGATGCAGGCGATGGCGCCGCTCAGCATGTCGGCCACGATGGCGGGGTACGAGTTGGCGGTGGGGAAGTAGGCGTGGAAGCGCGGAGAGTGCCAGTGCGTCACGCCGGGCATGATGACGCGCTCGATGTCCGCCATCACCTCGGGCCAGGAGTCCGGCGACTCGGGGGCCTCGGCCGGGATGAGGGGCCGCAGGTAGCCCGGTTGCACGGACGGCAGCACCTGCCTGGCACGTCACGGGCACGTCACTTCGCGGTCCTCGGAGGGAAGCAGCAAAGCGCGTCGCCACGCACACTTACCGATCACGTATGTTCTCCAGGTAGTTGCCGATGTAGTCCACCATCTCCTTGGCCATGTCCTTGAATTCGTTCACCTCCATTTGTGGTCTGCAACACACACAATGCCTCGCTGTAGCCCTGAGTGCACGCGGACGCGCGCCCGCCCGCCCAGCCGTTGCCGAAAACTGGCAACTGGAACGGTGGCAGGTCTAGCCGGCGGGGACCTCGGCCGCTTCGGCCTTCCGAGCGCTCCGCCCATTCACGGCGACGCCGTAAAATCGGCGAAGGCGGCCGTAAAACGCGGAGACTGCTGCACTTCCTCTCCGAAATCCACCCGCAATGTGCAGCATCCGCCAGCGATACCCCACGCGCGGGGCCATGCCCACTAGCCCACTGCCCTGCGCGCGGGGTATCGCCGCGGAGAAAGCACGCCGCACTGCTCGGCGCGGCTCGGCGGTCAAGGTCGCGGCCACTCTACCACTGGGCCACTCGGCCACCGAGCACTGGCTGTCTGTTTTCGGGAAGTTTGACGCCGTATTTTTACGCTGTTTCCTGACAAGGGGAAATTGCTTAAGTGAAAGGATCTCAAACTCGACGTGCGCTCGCGTCCCGCCCACGTCCCGTGCCGTAGGCAGCGACTCTGAACAGGATGTAGGCTGTGACGTGCTCCCCGTGCGGTCCCTCCATTGGTCTCCAGTGATAGATTGCAAATTTATTATCCCTTGGTATCGGTTTCCGGACGGCCTAGGTGGGCTGCAGTAGCACACTGGAGGGGGTTCGGCTCGTCCTTGGCGCACTGGACTAGACTGGCTCGGCTAGGAACCCAAGACTCCAAGACGTGACAGGCCGCTCTGGGTTCCCCTACGCTACTCTGTCGAAAAGACTGCCGCCGAACAGCATCTGCGGAGGTCAAGGTCGAAAACTGTGTCAAGATCGAATGAAATGAACGGCTAATGATTGCCGCAACGCAGCGGATTCGCGCAACTGATTGACTGCGTCGACCCGGAAAAGGAAAAAAAAGTCGTTTTATGACCGGCAGCCCATTCCCATTCCCGACGACGGATGGCTTCGCCGACAGGCGGACAGTCCGGCGGGTGGAAATTGTCCCGTCCATTAAACGCGCGCTGTCTCTGTTTCTTCGTCGCGCTGCCCCTGTCGCACTCGTGGGGCGTCCCGTGCGGGTGCGAGAGAGACAGCGAGCGACGAGGCTACACTTTGCCCGGCCTCCGGCCCCGCCCCGGATCCGCACCTGTGACTGCACACAGCACGCGAGGTCGCGAGAACGCGTTAAAATTCCCTCGAGGCGAGGCAGCCTAAGGCAGCCCCGGCCTGGGAGGGCATCGCCGGCATCGCCGCGAGGGAATGCCCCGCCGGGCTAGCGCCAGGCTGGCCAGCTTGCAGTGCACCCGCGGGCCGATTTGAGTCACCGACGCGGAATCCAGTTCGGGGGTCGCCATTTGAACGGCGAGACTCGCGGGCACCACGCGTACAAAAAGAAAATTAAAAGTGTGGACACTTTCTGAGCGACCGTGCCTGACGCGCACCGTTCACGAGGTAACGACACACCGTACTTGGAGATTATGTTAAGTTGGCACTCTCTGCCCCACATTGGAACTGGAAACGCACTGGGCGTGTCTAGGCGCGGCGGCGCGATGACGCGAGGCGATTATTGTTTAGTTGGCAGCAGTGCCGACTGCGCGCGAAGCGGCGCGAAGGTTGCACGAAGCCGTAGGGGTGCGTCCGAGAGTCGTCCGTTCGGTCCGCGGTGGAGGAACGCGAGGAACGTGGCTTCCTGGCAGCGCGCAGGAGCGCGCACTCCGCACGCAGTCCTGCAGTGATAACTGCTGCCTTCCAGTCTTCCAGTGGAGTGGCGATGGATGGTGCGGACGAAGCGGGCACCGCCACACTGTACGCGGGCCGGGCGAAGCTTTAATTACGGCGCGAGTGGTCAGAGAAGTAACAAGTCATTGAAAGAATAAAGAGTCTTCGATAGTATCGAAATTAGCAGCGGCCGGCCTCGGCCTGAGTGTATGAGAAATTCGCCGCCAGATCGCATCAGATGTCCTTCCGGCGGCACTGCTGTGGCACTGGGTCGGGGGTCACGCTATTCACAGCCACTCTGACTTGTTGACGATCGAGTCGACCACGGCCCTCACTCACACTCACGCAGTGGTGGACACACCCACACACACACAGGCTCGGCGGCGGCACGACGCGGAGGCCTCGCGTTATCAGTACAACCCGGGAGCAGCAGACGACGCGCCGCAGACGACACGGCAGAGCGGGCGACGCACTCACTGAGTGTGTGCAGTGTAGCAGACGACGGCGGGGCGGCGCTGGCTGCCTCGGGCTGCCTCCAGGTGGTCGGCGAGGTGCTCGGCGAGGTGTCGTGTCGCGGGGACGACGCGGCGCGGACTGACGGGGACTTGAACACGGCCGGAGTGGAAGTCGGAGGAAGTGGCGGTGTGGCGGTCAGCTGAGAGGCTCCGAGCGGCGGGGCGGGGCGAAGCGCGGCGCGAGGCGTGTGTGGTGCGCCGGGCTGGCTACTGCTGGTTCGGGGCGAGTAGCTGGCGTAGCTGGCTGCAGATATGATGGAGTAAGACCCCGCCGCGCCCCGCCGGCCCCTCCGCTCGCCGCACCGCGCCCCTCACCTTGCCCGTCCACCGTGACGTCACGCGCGCACCGGTCCGGACTCCGGGCGGCCCGGTCGGCAGGGAAGGCCCGGGGTGCGGGGCCCGGGGCCGGGCATGCCCCTGGACTTGCCCAGCACGCACGCAGACGCGCGCCGCGCACGCACTGCGCCGCCGCGGCCACTGGATGCTGGGCCGCGCGAGCGTCACCGCCATGCCACTGCTTCACGGCACGGCCCACGACGTCGACGACGTCACACGGCCAGACGATGACCTTTCCGAACCCCCAAGTCCCCGGTGCAGTGCGGTCCACGTCAACCCACGTCGACGGCAGTGTTAAATTCACGCACATGTGGCAAGAAACCCAAAGTCTCAAGAGCGTTAGCTAGGTGGCAAAATTTAATCTGTTTACTTGCATGTTTGGTGACACCCATCTTATCTTGAAGGGTAATCCAAAGCGCCCGTCGAGAGGGAGATTAAACGAGTATTGAATGAGTTAGTATTTGGGGTCAATCGCAAAGTCACGGTGCCGATTAAACGTTGGGATAAAAAGAAGGAACAGAGACTGTTTGGCTCTGCGTTCCTCTGGCTGCGGCCAGTACACTGCCTCATTCATTCGAGGGAAGTGCCGCGGTTTCCACGGACTGGGCCGCTGCTGCCTGGACGTGCGGATCGTTCCGGATCAGTGACGTCACTGCACTTGCGGGCAGGGGACACCCTCCCTTCACAGTCACGGCGGCGCGGCGTGGGCACGGCGTCGTCGGGGTTTCCCGCCTTCCCCGAAGCGAATGTAGTTCGTGAATGGTGCCGTTGGCCGCCAGGCCGCGCCACGCCCGCCCAAATAAAGTGTACAGTCGCCCATTCATCGCGGGGCACATGCAGCACGCTCTTTCTGAGAGTCGTTTCCGTCGATAATTCTCTCTCGCACTCATAAGGCGTCCGTACAAGGTGCGAGAGAGAAAGAGCACCAGTCTGCGGGCCACAGGTAGGCGATCTGTCTCGCCGCGGTCGACCTTCTTCCACGCACTCGCGAAAAAGGGGCACTACTTGTTGTCCTCGAGGACACCGCGGCAGCAGGGCCACCAGGCCCGACTCACCGTGGCTCCATGGCGGCTGTGTTGCGCTGGTCCGCTGGGCTGGGGGTCCTGGCAGCAACTGGTGGGCTGGTGGGCCCGGGCGGGGCGCACGGGGTGCGCGCAGGGTGGCCGGGCGCCTACCCTCGCTGAGGCACGGCACGGCACGGCGTCGACGGGGTGGGGGTGAACACGAACCAAGAGGCCGATGATGGCGAACGTCGGGCCGTGATGAAATTGATGAAATTGGTGAAATTGTCAGCGTCATCTCTCTGCCCCTTTTCCGTGCCGCCAGATTGGCCTGCTGAACCATCAGGGGCAAATCGGGGTGTAGCTGCTCGTCGGCGCCTTCGCCGAGGGAGCAAAATAGGACAAGTGTGTCGCGTCATTGTCTCAGGACTTATCTCTCTGAAGGCCCAATGGGCCCAGACTGAACAATTTCGTGACAGAGGAGGATGGCAGAAATGATAAGACAGGGAGAGGGGGCAGTGGGAGGGGGCGTCGCCGTCCCCGCTCGACTCGGCACGGCGCGGCTCTAGTCGCGAGCACAAGTCAGAAATTACGCCAATAATCCGGAGCCACAGTGGCGGGCAGAGGTTCGGCGGAGGAAGCAGCTACCGCAGCTACGCTCCACACGGCGTCTTGTCGCTCTATCTCTCTCGCACTCCTACGAGACGCTCCGCGAGTAAGAGAGAGAGAGACATGGCTGTGCGCGGATCAGCAAGCAGGTCCCGCCCGCGCAGCATCAGCAGGGCAGCGTCAGCGGCGAGCGGCACGATGAAAAGTACCAGGCTTTGATGCTGCGTCCAGTCGCCTTTTTCAGGAAGACGGTTCGGCCCGGCCCACTGGAAGAGGGAAAAGACAGGGAGATGAAAAGAGGGCGGGCCGGGGCTGGGGATGTCCCCCGGGAGCACGGCGAACCAGTTCGCCACGCCCGGGCACGACGGCTCCAAGCGCCATAGTGGCCGAACCATTCGACATTCACGAAAAGTAAAAGAAAAGAGGATGTCCAAAAAAAAGGGAGAGCTTATTGATGGAATTGCAAAGAGGCCTTGAGCGTCCCAGTTTCAAGCAGTGGGAAGAGATGATTGACCACAGGAACAGAGCAGAACACACTCCGTACCCCAGGCATCATCACTCACTGCAGCGGGTCGCGGCAGTCTCGGCGCCACCCCTAGCGCCCCACTTGTGCCCCGCCCCCGCCCCCGCCCCCGCCCCCGCCTCACCCCACGGCCCTCGTGCAGAGGCCGCGGCGGAACAATAGGGGCAGTTGAGCGCGTCGAGGGTCGGTCAGTAAAGCCCCCGTCCCCACCGTGATTCAGTTAAACCTCTGCCGCTGCCACCGCTGCTGCAGCCACACTGCCACGCCCCCGGCAACGGCGCAGCGCCGACAGGGGCCCAGGCCCAGCCGCCTCCGCGCTGAAATAAAAGAAAAGGACGCCGTCGACGCGAAATCGACCTGAGAAAAACTTTTCTTCACCCTCTCCAACTTTTCCGCAGCGTATTTTCCTCCCTTGTGCACTCTGCACAATCTCTCTTCTCGGAGGACAGCGGCGATTGGCGAAGCAGGCGAAGCCATTCCCAGCAGCAGGGCGCGCCGGGCGTCGCTCTGTCTCTCTCGCACCCCTGCGGCGCGCCCCGCCAGTGCGACGGAGACAGAGCGGCGAGGGCACTGTTCGGAATGAGCCTGCTGAGAGGCGCGCCTGTTGCTCCTGATTTTCCGCGTGTGGCGCCTACATTACTGCCTGGAAGTGCCGACGGGGCGGCGGGGCGGCGGAAGGGGGTGGCTGTGTGGCCAGGGGGAGGGGGAGGGGGGGAGGAAATTGCCGCTCACGGATCGGAAGCGGCGGTCCGCTGGAGTTGCCTGCCTGGAGCCTCCAGGCGCTCCAGCCAGCCAGCCGACGCGACGGCGGCGACGGCCGGCTGGAAAACGCGTTTTGAATTATTTACCGCGACCCTGCCCTCGGCACCGGATTCGCGCGTTGTTATAAACTTTGGCGTGGAGGATGAACGACGGGAGGAAAACGGAAAATGCGCGCTACACTGCTTTTCCAGGCCCGAGGCGCTGCGGGACAGGGAACCCCGACGACGTGTTGGGCGTGTGGACATTTCTCCAGCAGTGGTCGTTTGGCCGTTCGGGCGCTTCAGGCAGGGTGACGTGGCCCGGGTGGCTTTCGCTCTACTACTCCACTGCCTTGCCGTCTCGCTCATCTTAAAACCAAATACCACTCACCCCCCTCGGTTCCATGGGCGCCTTGGCCACGTCCGGTAGGGGCGGCACACTGATTCCGGGAGCCGTTTTCGTCGCTGCGTCTCTCTCGCACCTTCACGCGACGCCCCGCCAGCGCGAGAGAGACAGAGCGACGAAAACGACTCTCGGAATCGGACTGCAGTCCACCCGGACGAGTCCACGGGCGTGGCCACGGTGCGCGTGTGAGCCTAGCCTCTCCTCCTGCAGCAGGGCCTCCTTGATCTTGGACCTGCATTTCATGCCCGCCCCGCCCCTCCCCACGCGGCCCGCTCCTCAACAAGGGCACTCGGACGCGCTACAAGACTTGCCGCTTTGGCCTGCCGTGCCGTGGCCATGGCAACGCCCCCCACCCCACCCCTGCAGCACCGCCCAGCCCAGCCCCCCAGCCTCACACCGGCCGCACCCCCCCCCTCCCCTCCTCTTTGAACACTGTTGCCGCCCACCCTACACGTCGGCCGTCCCAGCCCCAGCCCCTCGCCCTCCCCGAAGTTCCTTTCTCTCAAACGCCCCGTCCAGACCGGAACGACCCCTCGCGGGCCGAGTCTGGCCGCCGCGTCCGCCGAGCGCGGCGCTGTAGACTGAGAGCCGCTTTCGTCGCTCTGTCTCTCTCGCACCCATACGGGACGCCCCGTGAGTGCGAGAGAGACAGAGCGACGAAAGGGACTCTCAGTCTGCAGCAGAGCGCCTCAAGTGGCGTGATTCGGCTCGGCAGTTACCGCGCGCTGTTCGACGGCGGCCTCGCCGCGGGGAGGGGAGGGGGGCTGACTTATCTGTCCAGGATAATTGCTACCCCCCGCGACTTGTTCCTCACCCCCCGCACGGCGGCCGTCCCGGGGGGGGCGGCTGGGCGGCCAGAACAAGAGCCTGGTGGATGTGCAACTGGAACTGAATTCTCCGCCGCAGCGCCGCCGTCTAGGTACACGCCCAGCTGCACGCGTGACAGAGATGACACACTGAAAAAGGATATTTCACGGGGAAGGTTCCATATGTCCTGCCAGACTGTGCGGAATCAGCCCGCTGCATCGGATCTGTGAATGGCTGGCGGGGCTGGCGGCCTCGTGCCGTACCGCCTCACCGCCTTGCCGCCTTGCCGCGCCACAGGTGCCGAGGCCGAGGCACCACACTGTTCCGAGAGTCGTTCTCATCGCGCTGTCTCTCTCGCACGCACACGAGACGCCCCACGAGTGCGAGAGAGACAGAGCGACGAAAACGACTCTCGGAACAGTGTGGTGGCCAAGCCTTCCCGAGGGAGCAATGCCGGCAATGCGTGCGTCCGCGCCTCGCGCCGCGCCCCGCCACCACGCTCAGTCCGAACACTGCGTTTGTCGCGCTGTCCTTGTCGCACTCGGGGGCGTTCCCTCGGAGTGCGAGAGAGAGCGCGCTCGTTAGCGACTATCCTTGCAAGTCACAGCGCGGCCACTTTTCGCCGCCGGCTCGCGTCGCGGCCCTTGCCGCGGGGCCTGGCGCCGCCCTGACCGTCTGGCCGGCCGCGGGGGCCAGGTTCCGCCGGGCCGCGTTCCGGGCCTCGGTGGCGAAGTGGCAAAGTCAGACACAGCGGGGCGCTTAAAAAATTAACTTGGACACGTGGCGGCGGAGCGCGCACTCATTCCGAGATTCGTTCTCCTCGCTCTGTCTCCCTTGCACCCAAAGGGCGTCGCGTATAGGTGCGAGAGAGACAGCGCGACGAAAACGACTCTCGGAATCAGTCTACAGCCCGGACCGCGGGAACCGCCGCGTGCCGCGTCGTTGCACCTGAAACCCGCCGATCCGGTCCAGGAAAACATCGCGCAAAGTTTTACTCAAAGCATTGTGGCGACGACGGTGCCGACGCCGCAGGCGCGGAGATGTGTGCCTTGAAGCGGCGGCCTTGCCTTGCCTTGCCGCGGCCACGCCACGTCCTGCTGGAGGCGTTCGAACGTCTCCGCCTTCGCGTAGTGCTTCGCGCGGGCTGGGAGCGGGCCCGCCCCGCCGGCCCGCCGGCCACCGCGAGGTGCGTGCATTGTACACAATCTCACGCGCCCGAGCGCACGCGGCCGCGCGCGCACGCAAAGTGCCCTGCAGGACTAAGATCCTCGGCCAAGGAAAAAGAGAGAGAGAGAGAGAGAGAGAGAGAGAGAGAGAGAGAGAGAGAGAGAGAGAGAGAGGGGGGAGGGGGCAATCCCGCAAGGCTTGTCGTCGGCTAGAGAAATAAACTTGTAAAGAGAGGATGGCGTTACGCGGGATTCCAAATTTGCATACTCGTGTCGTTGCTTCGCGCGCTCCTAGAAGTAGGCAACCGGCGTGGACGTCCAGCCAGGCTGACGTCCTGGAGCGTCCGAGTTTCATCACGCTGGCGCTCCAAGGCCCCGGGCCAACCTGGCCCAGCTGGCCCCGCCGCCAGGCCCACAGCCGATCGACATGTTCGATGTAGATAACCGTACAGTCCCTCACCCCCCACGGTCGGCCAGTAGGATGATTCCCCAGGCTCGCCACCCAGGAGTGCGAGGGGGACAGCGACGACAATTCGGAAAGCCTGCAAGCCCGCCCCTTCCACGAGGGGCATTGTTCCACGTCGACGAGAGGCTCTCTGTCATGGTGCGCCACGCCGCCACGCATGACACCAGCAAACATGTGCGGCCTGGCGCGAGGGTGGCTGTAGATGTAGATCCTCACATTCCTGCTGATTCAGGAGTCGCCACCGTTCTGCGTGCAGTCAGGATCTTGGCGTCAAATAAATCAAACCACTAAACCTTTTTTAATCGATGAGTTAATCTAGTTGATGAGACATTTGGTCCTCTCGGACAACAATCTCATAGTTCTCACCAATTTTCTAAGGACACTACCGGTGCTCGCGCGTGGGGTATCTGCAGGCGCCGCGAAGGAACGCCACAAAGTAGCGCCGCTCCGCGACTTGGAGGCGGGGGGTATCGCCGTGGGATGACGCACACCCAACCACAGCGTGCCCGTCGTCCAGGAGTCCGGGCGGAAGGCGCGGAAGGCCAATGAACACCGACGGGGAAGTCGACGACGTCGACGCCAGCGTTCCACGTGACCGCCCACAAGCCCCCAAGAGCATTTCTTCCGCCAAAAGCTTTTCACCGCTGAGAGCATTTTCTCCCTACTGCACAGGGGTGCCCGAAGTGTTGCCTGCTCTCCCGGCGCACGGCGTAGCGCCGGGCCAGGAGAGCGTTCTCGGGCATCCCCTGCCTTCGACGGCCTGCCCTCGGCCCTGCCGTGCGCCTTGTCTTCGTCCTGCCAGTCCTGCACCGTAATTGGTCGAGTGACGTCACTGGGCGGGCCGGGCCGGGCAAGCGCGGCCCGGCGATGCTGCATCCAGAGCAGCAATTCTTCTAGCAATTGGAGTACAGAGGATGGAGGGGAGGGCGCCGCCCGGGCGGAGCGCGGAGCAGGGCAGCGCCGCCACGCCACGCAAGCCAAGCAGAGCAAGCATAGCAAGCAGAGCGCCGGCAAGCCGCTGCCGCCAAAGCGCACCAAAGCGTCGCCGACGAGGAGTCCCAGTTCCCCTGGACGCCCTGGACGCCCTGGACGCCCTGGAACCGCTTTGTCTAGCTTAGTCGCTCGGTGGCCGGTCGGCGAGGTGCACGCTTCGGCGATACCCCGCGCCTCACGGCAACGACAGGTGCCGTCGTGTCGTTACTCCGCGCTCCGGGTGCCTGCCGCCTCCCCGGCCCACCCCTTGCAGCCAGCGTTGCGGGGTGTAGCGACGATTTGGATACTTCGCCGCCGTCCGCGCTCCTGGAGCCGAGGACACCGCCGGCACCGCCATGCCGGCCAAGGGCATCTTCGTGTACTGGAGGTCCATGGTGGTCGTCTTCACGCCCCTCATCCTCCTGCCGCTGCCGCTGCTCTACCCCGGCAGCACGGTAACTTTAAAAAATCTGGAGAAAGTTGAAGCCTTTCCAAAAATTGGTATAAAAAGTGCTTTCAGGCATATGATGACTGCTGATTTCGATTCGGAGTGATTTCGGTATCGTCGACCGCGACATGGCCGACCCCAAACTTTCCTCTGAGTCAGCGTGTGTCAAGTTCACCCTATCTTTGTGGTGTACCAGGTAGCGCGCGTCTCTCGCGAATCGCGAACTTGATAACGGGCCATCGACTCGGCGAGTGTGTGTGTGGTGTGTGTGTGTGGGGGGGGGGAGGGGGAGGGACGCGTGTACCCTCAATTTAATCGTCGTGGTTGCGTGCAATGCATGCAGGGCCCCTTGAGCGGCGCGGCGAAGACTCAATGGGCCGAGACACGGCAGGGCGGCAGAGCGGGGGGCGAGGCGAATTTAGGTTGACCGGTTAGGACCGGCGAGGCTCTCGATCACTCGAAAAGAAGACACCGCGAGGTTGAGGACTTTTCAAAATCAAATGGAAATACTTTGCACCCCACAACTATCGTTTGGGAAGCTGAATCTCCTCGCAGGCGTGGGTGCACTGCTGTTGCTCGCGACTTGTCAGTATTATTTTTCGACAGCACACTGTACCGAACACCCAGTTTTTTTTCGCTCGCGGTGTAATTTTGGCGCTGTGTGGGGCTCGTAAGTACAGCGACATTGGATGGCAGGTCCGGAAAAAGGAACGCCTTCTAGTGATAGATGTGCGGGCTTCCCAGATGCCGTGGCCAATTGAACCGCTGAACTCTCTGCTCTGGCCGCTGTGGCCGCAGTGGCCCTCGCGACGAGGGACGAGGGGACACGAAACAGACGAGACGAGCAGACGAGCGACGTCGAATCAATTTCTCTCAGACTCTGAGACCCACCGCAGGAAGGCAGCGCGCCGCCTCATAGCTGCGGCACTTCTGGGACTGTTTGCTCATGACAATGTGGCCAGTCGGCAAGAGAGAAAAAACCCATCAGGTGCAGACAGTCTCAGTCGATTCAGGTCAAAGTTTACGCCTGGGACCTGTGAAAGTGGTCGACTGTTCAGACAGAGCCAGAAAGCGGATTTGGGTTTCGGAAATCAATTTAGGAAACGCTTGAAAACACAATCTGATATTGAAAGGACCAGTCTGATGCTCCCAGCTGGGACCGGACCTGGGCCTGAGGCGGCCTGAGGCGGCCTGAGGTCCTCTCCTCTCCGCTCTCTCGGGACGCGACGACGGCGGGCGACGGCGGCCCACTTGTTTGGCACAGTAGTGCAGTTCAAGGATTGGGTAAAAATGGCCCGGGCCGCCTCGACTAAGATAGACGGCCCGATATTGTGCAGCGTGTTGCGTGGCGCCAGTGCCAGAGGTTAACTCCGCTAATGCCGCGTGGCCGCGCCGCCGCGCACGCACCGCCAGAGGACCGCGTCGAGGAGGGGCCGCGGAGCCGCAGAGCCACCTACTCCGAAAGTGCACCAATTAGGCCAACCCAGAAAGCTCGACCAGAAACCTTGACCAGCCCACGCGCACGGCGCCGCGGCGGTCAGCGACAAACGTCTTAGACACGGATGTTTACGGCGTGTGGTTATGGCAGTGGTTCTCTCGAAAAAATTTTAAGGGGTCGCGGCGAGGTAGCTGGGGTCGTGTTTTGGGCCGATTTTAAGCAGCCACTGCGTCTGATCCGAGGCGGGCATTTTGCTCCCTCAACCGGCAATTGGTCTTTGAACCTTCCTTTAGCATGCCTTTGTTACGGAGTGTGATTATCAGTCTTAGTTTGGGAGCAGTATTGTCTCAAAGTTTACCAAAACGGTCAGAAATGTCTTTGAAAAATCGTGTTTTGGGCCTATTTTAAGCAGCCACTGCGTCTGACCCGAGGCGGTATTTCGTCCTCCTTCAACGGGCAATTGGTCTTTGGACCTTCTTTTAGCATGCCTTTGTTACGGAGTGTGATTATCAGTCTTAGTTTGGGAGCAGTATTGTCTCAAAGTTGGCCGAAACGCTCAGAAATGTCTTTGAAAAATCGTTGTGCCTGTTTTGGTCAACTTTGAGACAATACTGCTCCCAAACTAAGACTGATAATCGCATTCCGTAACAGAGGCATGCTAAAGGAAGGTCCAAAGAACAATTGCCCGTTGAGGGAGCAAAATGCCCGCCTCGGATCAGACGCAGTGGCTGCTTAAAATCGACCCAAAACATGATTTTTTAAGACATTTCTGAGCGTTTTGGCCAACTTTGAGACAATACTGCTCCCAAACTAAGACTGATAATCGCACTCCGTAACAGAGGCATGCTAAAGGAAGGTCCAAAGACCAATTGCCCGTTGAGGGAGCAAAATGCCCGCCTCGGATCAGACGCAGTGGCATGCTAAAGGAGGGGTCCCGTGGGGTCGCGAAACTTTTCCTGGGGGTCGCGGAAATTTTTGGCCACAAATTCGGGGTCGCGAGCCGAGAAAGGTTGAGAACCGCTGTGTTATGGCCACCACGTTGATGCTCTTGTTGGCGTTGCCCGCGGCAGGAGGCCCGGGCGGCGTACGGCGTGCTGCTGCTGGCCGTCTTCTGGGTGTCCGAGGTGGTGCCGCTCGCCGTCACCTCGCTGCTCCCCGTCGTCCTCTTCCCCGTGCTCGGTGTGCTGTCCACCGAGCAGGTCTGCGTGTCCTACCTCAAGGAGACCAACATGATGTTCGTCGGTGAGTAGCGAGGGTGGCGGCGCTGCTGCAGTTCTCTGCCTCCACTCCACCTTGTTGCCGCAGGCGGCCTGATCGTCGCGATCGCCGTGGAGCACTGCAACCTGCACAAGAGGATCGCCCTGCGCGTTATGATGCTCATCGGGGCCAGCCCGCGCAGGCTGATGCTGGGCTTCATGATCCCCACCATGTTCCTGTCCATGTGGATCTCCAACACGGCCACCACCGCCATGATGGTGCCCATCGTGTCCGCCGTCCTGGACGAGTTGAAGGCAGTGAGGCACTTGTACCTTTTCTACTTCTAGAAGATGCCGTACACGCCTGCACTGATGATTCCATCCGTGTTTCTAGCAAGAAGTGGAGAACTCCCGCAGGCCCTCGGTGCTCAGCAGTGCCACCAGTCGACACGACAGCGGCACCTTCGACCAGGAGACGCGCAGAAAGTCCCTCGGCAGGGTGGAGATGAAGTAAGACGAGTAGGCCGACGAGTCGCGTGAATTGCCGTTTGGGCCGCGCTAAAGACGCTCTCTTTGTACCAGCAAACTGCCGCGGCCGTCGCAGGAGTCGGTGGCCTACTACCTGGGGGTGGCGTACGCCGCCAACATCGGCGGGACGGGCACCCTCACGGGCACCGCCACGAACCTCACGTTCAAAGGCCTTTACGAGAGGTAAGAAAGAAAAAGGGTTCATTGCAGGAGAAATATGTAGTTTGTTTTTTCCGTTTTTAAAATTTTATGTTTATTTTCCCCAGCCTGTTTCCAGACCTCCACGACCTCAACTTCGCCAACTGGATGATCTTCAACGTGCCCCTCATGCTGATCAACGCCATCGTGGCCTGGCTGTGGCTGCAGGTGCTCTACATGGGGCTCTTCAGGAAGGCCGGCAGGAGGATGACCAAGACCCGGGAGCAGCTCCAGGCCGTGGAGGAGGTGATCGCCGCCAAGTACCGCGAGCTGGGCCCCATGACCTTCCACGAGGGCTCCGTCATGTCGCTGTTCGTCGCCGTCGTGCTCCTCTGGTTCTTCCGCGCGCCCGAGTTCATTCCCGGCTGGGCCGAATACGTGTCCGACGTGTAAGCCTCGCCGACGGGCGGCTCGGAGCCTGGCGACTGTCTCGCTTCGACGCACAGCGCGGCCGCGCACCCGTGTTTTGCTTTCTTTCTAATTTCGTTTTTGCTTCCTGCTCCCAGTGACATAACTTGCAGGCAAACGCACTGCCACACCGTATGGCGGACGTAAGGTTGTTCAAATTTCGCCGTTTCTGCTGCAGGAAGATCAAGGACGCCACGCCCGCCGTGCTCATCGTGTTCCTGCTGTTCGTCCTCCCCGCCAACCTCGACTTCCTCAGAAACAGAGGCAAGTGGCTCGCCGCTTTTCCTGCCCTTATCTGCCGCGGACTTTCTTCTCGGCTGGGCAAATAGAGGAAGAGAGAAAGAGAAGGAGAGAATTTGCCTCGCCGGAGTCGTCTCGCCGTTCCTACACCTTAAAGTGTTTGATGGATAAAAATGGATTGATTCCCCAGGCTCGGGCAAGGCGACGGCCGCGCTGCTCAACTGGAAGATCGTCCACGAGAAGCTGCCCTGGGGCCTGGTGCTGCTCATCGGCGGCGGCTTCGCCATGGCCTCGGCGTCCAGGGAGTCCGGCCTCAACAAGCTGATCGGCGCGCAGCTCGTCACGCTGCAGGGCTCCATGTCCTCCACCGCCATCCTGGTCGTCATGTGCACGGCGGCGACGTTCCTCACCGAGGTGTCCTCCAACACGGCCATCGCCAACATCGTGCTGCCCGTCCTGGCTGAGACGGCCTCCGCCATGGAGGTGCACCCCCTCTACTTCATGATCCCCGCCACGCTCTGCTGCTCGTACGCCTTCATGCTCCCCGTCGCCACGCCCCCCAACGCCATCGTCATGGCGGCCTCCAACATGCGGCCCAGCGACATGGTGCGTGCGTGCGCCTGGCGGTCAAGTTGGACCTTTGAAATGAAACATAACTTGTGCCTCTGGTTGCAGATTAAGGCCGGCATGGGCATGAACGTGCTGTGCCTCGTCACGCTCTTCATCGTGTTCCCCACGCTCGGCAGCTGGCTGTACGGCCTGGACGTCTTCCCCCCCGAGGCCGCGCACATCGGTGTGCAGAGCAGGATGTGAGCCCTGCAGCCGCCTAGCGGGCTCAACAGTGTCTTCATCGCTCTGTATCTCTCACACCCCTACCGACGCCCCGTGAGTGCGAGAGAGGCAGGGCGATGAACGCCCAGTGCGATTCAGCTTCAGGCGGTTTGGCCTTTGCACCACCCTCTAGTCGCACGGCATCACGCGCCAAACGTTTCGTACAAAAAGAGAGAGAAAATCAAGCAATCTCACGTGGTGTCGTGAAACTAAACAAATTTTAAATGTATATTAATTAGGACAATTGATAAATTTAAAGTAAAAATAGCTTTAGTACTGTAAGATTTGCACTGAGTTTGTAGTAAGATCTATAGATTGCGCTGCACAGCAGCGCGCGTCTGAAACCAAAGTATACGATAGTCATATCATAGTACGTAGTTGAAGCTAGAATGTGGCTGCAGCAGCGAAGGCAGAGCCAGTGCCACACTATTTAAACAGCGTCACAATGTGATGCTTTCCTGTGCTGCGCACAGGCCCGAAGTCGAGACCAGCTTGTGTCCGCAGCACCAGCGCGACTTGTAAGCGGCACTTCACCACTGACGACCTCTAACTGTTCCTAATGTTGCCTCGGCATTAGAGACCAAAGCCTCACTTGAACTGTGAAGCCAACCCAACCCGGTCGCGGTGCCGCAGTCTTCCGAAAGCAACGCTCAGTGCTCGAGAAGTTGCCTTCCCGCGCGGCGTCGGGCTGCTTTGCCAGGCAGTCCGTTGGGTTGCCACTCTCCCCGGCGCAGCGGTGACTGCCAGCGACTGCCAGCCAACCGCGTGCGCCGTGGAGGATGGCAACCCAACATACGTGCTGCCTCCTGGTGGGTGAGCAGCCTACACTGCAAGCGAGCCGCTCAGCTCAGCGAAAGGTGTAGTTGTGTTGGTTGGTGAAACAGAGAACAGAGGCCATTGTTGTCGAACTGCAGGGCTGCCCAGGACGGCATCTCCGGGCGGGCAAAATCGCAAACAATCACGAGATTGGCAACGGTGTGTAAGCGCGTCTCTGCAGGTGTTTCCTGTTGTAAAACTTGAATAAATTCCAAGGCAAAATTCATTTTTGCACGAAATGAGTGTATTATTATTTTCCCTTCGCGCAGCATTTCCTGTATACAAGGCATGCAGACTGGAAAAGCGAGGCTTAAAAATTGAAATTGAGCGGTAGAGGTGCGGTGTTGCAAAGGGCGAGACGACGGCAAAAGTCCAAAGGCCCCAGGCCGTGCCCGCATACGCGAAGCGACCGTCCTCGGTCGTAATAAAGGCTTCCACCGGACTTTGAAAGCGAATGGCAGAAGCTGGGGCTCGAGCCTAGCAGGGGATATCCGGCAGTGGGAGCGCTTTGAAGCTTCCAAGCTGTCAGTAGTATAGGTGCCCCATTCGGACATGCCGCCATTTTGGTTGCCGAATCCACCTTAGTTCGGCCGTGTCCGCGGACAGGCGGGCAGGCGGACAGGCGTAGGCGTGGGCGGTGCGGTGCCACTGGCAGTACTGATGCCAAGTGATGTGCGTTTCCGCGACCAGGGACACGGAAGTCGGCAGGAAGCCGACGGCCGGCCGGCCGCGTGAGGCTGCTTGGCGGCGCGCTGCGGGGGGCACGCGGCGCGGCGGCACGGCGGCACGGCGCGACCCCCTCGGCGACCCCCGATGTGACCCGCGATGACCCGGCAGCAGACAACGCAGGGGCACATCCTTGAGCATCCTCGGGCGGCACGTCAAAACTGAATGGAGTACGGAGAAGCGGATGCGCATCGACAGGCCGGCGGTCGACGGCGTCCTGGAGGACGAGGAGGTGCGCGTCGACACGGGAAGCAATCACGCTGCAATCCGCCGCCGCTCCGTGCTCCGCCCCAACCGAGCCCTCGGCAGCGACGGACCGCCGGCCGTCACCATCGACGAGACCTTCCTTGAGCTGCTGCAGTGCCTCGGACGTTGCACTGGGTCCTATTGTGAGCAGGAAGCTGCTGAATGCCGGATTTCGTTTTCCGCAGCTTCTCGCAGAGTTCAAAATAACACGTTGACAGGTCACTCCTTACAAGTAAAGGGTTAAAAAAAGAAACGTTTTCAGAATAAATTGATGGTTGTTGCTTTTTACAGTGAGGCGGAAGGAAGCGCTTCTGACATCGTTGTTACATGGCATCACTCGGCCTTGAATTATCGGCAATACACTTTAGTCGGGCCCCGTCACTCACACACACAGACAGACACACGCGTGCGCGCGTGCGAACACGTGCTGACTGGGGTTGTTTTCAAGCGCGGCTGTGATTAGCGTGGATTGGTCGAAGTGTAAGTGGGTTGCATGCGTCGTCACCCCAACCGGATGGCCGCGGGGCTTTACCGCGACGCTTGCCGACACCTTCTAGGGTTGCCCCCCGGTCGTCCCCCCGCGATGGTGACACTAGGCGAGGCGCGACGCGCGCGGTGGACGCCCTACAGCGGCCCGTACTGGCTGTGGCGCACCGTGGCGGCACGCCGCGCGCGCGGACTACACTTTTTGGCAGCACGCCGCGCCTTTCGCGTGAAAGGCCTGCAGGCCGGAGTGGTTTGGACGCTCCGTCTCTCTCGCACTGGCGGGGCGCTCCGTCGGCGTGCGAGAGAGACGGAGCCGAATGGCCCGGCTGACAGGGGTGTCCAGCTGTGCGGCACGTCCCGAAGGTGTGACGTAATTATGAGGAGGGCAGGCTCACCGGGCAGGCCTGTAAAAATGAGCACTTAATGCATTAATAAATAAAAGGCCGTGACGTCGCGCGGCCCTGCCGCCCTACCACCCTGCCGCCTTGCCCTTTGCAGACCCTCCTCCAGCGGGACCGTCTGGGACCGTCGCCGAGGTGTCGCTGGCGCGGTGCTGCACCTGCCTGCCGTCCAGGGCCTTCCAGGGACCGTCCGGCCGCACCACGCGATGCGCTGACCGCAGTCCGGCCGCGCGATGTGCGATGCGCCTCACCCCCGCCCCTCCCCCAGCCGCGGTGGGTGCTCGAAGGAGAACCGCACGTCACGGGGAGGGCGTCGCCGGGCGTCGCGACGTCGCGCCGCGCTGTGCACGGCGGCGGCGTCCACGGCGTCCTTGTCCGCGCGGACGTGCAGACGCGCCGCGATAATAGGGTCGCCGCCGTGTCGCGCTTCGTCAGCCAATCAGCGAGGGGCGAGCCGCGGCGCCGATTCGAACCAAGAAAGCATTCCACGGAAATGAGGAGCAGGTGCCGCCGCCAACGGCGACGGCGGCGTTCATGTCCCCGTGCTTCATCACCACCGCGACGACGACGGCGGCGGCGCCCCGCGGAGTGGCGAGGCGTAGCGCACCGCCTGCAATCAGACCTGGAATACATTACGCCGGATTTATGCTGTACAAAAACCGCCGAGAGAGCCGAAGAGAGGGGGCAAGGGGAGGGGGCAGATTGTCACCAACGAATTGCAGCGCCGCCTCGTGGCGCGCGGCGCGCCGGGGACTTCGACTTGCACAAGCCGCGTCCGGAAAGAAGGGGGCTCTCTGTCTCTCTCCGTTTGTCGCGTCGCGGATTGCGGATTCGGAATGAGAAAGACAACGGCGCGCTCCGAGTCGAACGCCAGCGCCGAGCCGGGCTATGCTGCCCCCCCCCCCTTTCCCGGGCAGGCCGGGCGGGCGGAGAAAGTGCGACGGCGGAAAGAGGAGTGTTGTGTGTGCGCACGCGGCCTGCCGGCCTGCCTCCTGGAAGGGAAGTCCTGGCGGCAATGGTGGCGTTCGGAAGCGATGCTCAGACTGGAACCAAACATCAACACTTGAGAGAAAACCCTAATCCCCCCGCTGGGCCGGACTTGGCCGGACTTGGCCGTATACGATAGTATCGAGAGAGGGCGTGGTGTCTCGAGGAGGCCTCTGTTCGGAATCTGGAATCTGGGATCTCTCTGGCTGGAGGCAGCCTTTATGGCGGTGCCGTACCGGTGGCAGCGTAGAGAGGCCTGGGCCCTGCAGGGACCTGGAGACGTAAAAGCGAACCATACTGCAGGTCCGTGAGGGTTGGGAAGAAAGGGAGGAACAATCGAACTGGAAATACAAAAAAATAATATCTGTGAACACGTGTCGCGGATCAAAGCAGTCCTTCTTTCGATCGACAATGTCGCGGCGCCGCGGCGGGACTTGAACCCGCGACCTTCACCTTGCGGGCCTTGCAGCGCGCCACCCCCACTCCCGCCCCCGCGTCCTGCCGCGTCCTGCCCGTCCGCGCTCGCTTCCTGTCCACTGGACAGCAGCATCTCGGCAGCGCGGCAGCACAGCGGCAGCATCCCGCCTAACCTCGGCAGAACCGCACATGGATTCCATTCTGCTCAACCTTGCCGCCTCGGACTGGCTCGGCTTGCCTCGCTGGAAGGGCAAGGATGGGCTCCTCTGGCACTGCTGCATTGTGGTGCCCTGCTGGCGCTGGCAGGTCGCGGAGCGCCCTGAGGAGATGATCGGCGACGTGAAGGTCGGAGGTTCGAATCCCGTCCAACGGCCCTGCATTTGTGTCCGGTTCAAATACACTGACCTTGCCCTGGAGTTCAACGGGGACCTTCGTTCGGGTGGCACGCACCGCCAGTGTGCCGCCACGCTACCCTGCCCGGTTCTGCCTCGAGTGAACGCACTTTTTATTTACGCGCATGGGTATTTGAACCCGCTCCTCGCAGAGGTCACGCGCAGGATGCAACCCGGACGGTCCGCGCCCTTGCGAAGGCGACACCTGTTATTGCATCGCGGATAAATAATGCAATGCTTGTCCCCCTTCTCCCTCTGTCTGCGTGTCTCTCTCTGTCACTCCCCGCCTCCCTCGAACAGGGCTGCGTCAGGAGAACCGGTTCTGACCGGGTACCCGGTTACATCCGACTCGTGCCAGACCAGTGTGGCGAACGGGTACCCGGTTAGAAAGCAAGGCTGCTGCAAGGTTGTTGCATCGCGCCCCTCCCTCAGCGGAGCACCGCGTCCATACCGATTGGAACCGGGTACCCGGTTCTGTCCGACTCGATTGGGCAACCGGGTACCCTCACCCACTTGGAACGCAGGGGCGCGCGGCAGTTTGGCAGCGCTAGCGGCGGCCCGTGCCCTCTCACTCTCTCTGTCTAGCGCGTGCCGAGGGGGCTGTATGGCTGCGCGACAGTGATGGAGAACCGGGCGTGGCCGCAGAGTCCTCGTGGGGCACACGCGGCGCACGACGCACGGGCACTTCGAAGGCGCGCTGATCCCGCCGCCAGTCGCCTTGTCTCTCTCGCGCCTCTACGGGCGTCCCCATGAGTGCGAGAGAGACGTGGAGTGGCAATAAGAGGTTTGGAATGAGTACGCGGCGCTGTCACTGACATGCGGGCCGAGCAACCTAACCTAACTTCAGCGAGACGAATCGGATGAACCCCCGCCTGGACAAGCCTGGACAAACGGCTTGCGCGATTCGCGATTCTCCTCGTCGGGGAGATTGGGGGGGGGGGGTCGGATAGCTTGCCGCTCGCCTTGTTAATGACCCACATCGCCTGCACGCTGCACTGCGCTGCAGATGCTACCCGCTGATGCAACGAGGTGCCAACGCGTGGCCCCTGCCCCGGCGTCGTCCGCACTGGCCGCCGCGCGGGTCGCTGGTTCGATTCCCGCTCCCGCCTTTTCGTTTTTCTTTTGAAAACACTTTCTCCGTGCGGTTTGATTGTCCGTGCGGAGGAAACCGTCGGGTTGCGCATAGCGCTGCACCGGCACTGGAGGAGGCCCCGAACCGCATCGTGGTGTTCGTTCACGGTGTTGGAGAGGTCCGGGAGGCGACATGACATGACTCAGTGACTCAATCCCTTTGTTAGGCAGGAAGCTGCTAATCGGGGGCGTAACCCAGCCGCCCCCCGCCACGCCCCGCCACGCCTGGGGGCCCCGCGTCTTCTTCGCCGTCGCCGGCGGCGGCACCGCTTCGACGCCCTGCCTCTCTCGCACCACCGCGCGATGCCCCACGGGTGCGAGAGAGGCAGAGTCCGTCTGCAGGCTCCGCCGGGCCGCACCGTGCCGGCCTGTCTATCCCTGAAAGCTTTGCGCGTCGCTCGGGCGGAGAGGCGGAGAGGAGTTGCACTGGGCGTGGCCGGGTGGGGGTGGGCCTAGCCCGGCCTAGCCTGTCTGCCGGTCGGATGCACCGCGCCGCCGTCTGCGCCGCCAGTGCCGCCACCGCGGGCCGCGCTGCTCCGCCGCGTGTTGCGTCACCATGCCAAATCCACAAAACAGTTGCCGTAACGATGCACTGGTACACGCGGTGCACGCAGCGCGATGGCTCGTCGGCGGGGGATGCACGCGGGTGCAAAGGTTGGCGGGCCTGCAGCTCGACCTGCTCGGCCGGCCGGGGAGACAGCCTGCGCGGTAGGCAGGCCCGCCGCACCGCCGCGCACCGCGGGACGGCCTACACTGCAGCTCGCAGGCGCTCCCGGGGAACCAAACCGAACCAGCCTCGCCTTTTATGTCAGCGCACCAAAGCGTGGTTTCATGTCACTGGATTTAACGGGGGACAATGAAGATGGGCCGCGACGCGCTCTCGCCCCATACGCCACGCCGACGCGGGACGGGCCGCGGGCCGGCCGCGGGTGGGTGCTGTCGGCGTCCGACACGGCCGCTTCGGGCCGGTCCGGGCACCGCGCAGCACCGCGTCGAGGAAGTTGTAAATTGGTAGCGCCGCGGGGAGGAGCTCGGCGCCAGTTGTAAATCTGTACGCGCCTCGCCGACACCGTGGGAGAAAACGAAAACCCTTGCCGAGGCCGGGGGGCGCCGGGCCGCGAGGCTGCGCGTGGGATGGGCTGGCCGTGGCTGCCTGGTCCACGGCGCCACTACGGGTAGAAAAGAAAGGGAATGTCACAGCCGCGACGCCGCTTAAGGGCAGGCGGGCCCTTTTTAAGGCGAGCCCTTTTTGAGGCGAGCCCTGCGCGGACCTGCGCGGGACACCTGTTAAGGCTCCGCCATGGCTCCGCGGTGGGCGCGGCCGAGCCACGCGGTACTATCTTCACCATCGGGAACAACCTGGCCGGGCCCGGCACCCCAGACCACGGCACGGCGTGCACCTGTGTGTCATGCGGTGGGCCCGGCGGGGCGGGGCGGGGCGTGGCCGTGCGGCTCACCGAGGAGTGTTTACCTTCCTGCTTTCTTCGTCCTTTCCCAGCCAAGGACCTCGGACCCAGCACGGACCCAGCATGGACCCAGCCCGGGCCGGGCGGAGCAGCGCGGAGTCGCCGGGCAGGACCGCAGCATCTTGGCAATGCGGGGCGGGGCGGGGCGGGGCCGGCCGGGCCCAGAGTGGGCATGGACACGACGAGTGCGAGAGAGACGGACACAATCCGATCCGCCCGGCCAGAGCTGTGAGGCGGGGCGATTCGGAAAGGAAAAGTAGTCGAAAAGGGGGGGGGGGAAGCAATGGATGAGAATAGGAGGGGGAGGGGAGGCCGTCATGCAGCGCTTCAAACGCCGCTTCAGATATATTTCCCGAGATTTCTCCCCGGAATGGAGGCGACACGACACAGGTGCATTCTGAGGAGGAGGAAAAGGGGGAGGGGGCGGTGATTACATCCGAGGCTCATCTCTGCGGCGCGAGAGAGGAATTCGGTGGACTCGGTGCGTCCAGGCCCAGCAGTGCAGGCCCAGGGCGCCGCCGAGGCCCGCCTAGGCCACGCGCCTCCAGCGCGCGTTACCTCAGCGAGCAGCCCGACAAGCGCCGACAAGTGTAGGCGGCAGGTCGTTCGAACGTTTACTGGCGCATTGCACAACACGCTTTGTACTTGAAACGTTTTATGGCACTTTCCATTTCGGGCATTTGTTCTTTTCTCGGAACACGCGCGGGAAGGATGGAGACAGAGACAGACAGACTCAGAGAAAAACTGCTCAGAGTAGAGTAGTAGTGGTATCACACCGGCGGCGGCAGACTGCGGGCAGGCTCGGCCGCCGGAGCGAATTCACACGTTGTACTGCCAGGGAAATGGAATGGACTGCTCGCGGAGATCCTCGGAATAAATTTGTGTTATTTTTTTCTTTTTCCCCCGGGGAACGCAACACTCACACAGCCCTCATGTGGCGTATGATGCAACACCACTAATACACGCCACCTGCACACCTCCGCCGTATGATACGGCCCGCCGGCCCAGTTCCTGCTTTTACCGATTGTGTCCCCCCCTCCCCCTTTTCTCTCTCTGTCTGACTGGCTGGCTAGCTGATGTGACACGAAGTGAGGCGCGCGCGTCCTTGTCTGCGTGAGTGTGTGTGTGTGTGCGTGCGCGCGCTGCCCGGGCTTCAGTGTGTGTGTAAGCGTGTGACTGTGTGTGTGCGTGATTAGCGCCAGCACTTTCCCTGTGACTGAGCGCGAGGAGGCGCCGCGGGGTCGGGGCGCGGCGACCTCTGTAAGGCATATGAGTGTTTGAATCTGTGTGTGTGTGTGTGTGTGTGTGTGTGTGTGCGTGTCGATGCGTGCGCGTGTGTGCGTGCGTGTGACGTCACCGCTGCAGGGCCGGGAGGGCAGGAACGGCTGTAACGGCAGCAACCGTTAGCAGCCCGAATTCTTTCCGCGCGCAAACTCACGGCAAGATGCCGCAAAAATCCCCCCCCCCCCAAAAAAAAAAAATTGAAAACAAGAAGGAGAGAAAAAGGAGGAACAGAAGAAAATGATTGAGGCTTCCCTGGAGGAAATGGGAAATGGGAGGGGCAATGCCCTGGGAAGGTACACTGGGGTCGAGCGGGTCGCCGATAACGACGAGCATCGCCTTGATTGACATTGTGTGCCAAATTGGACCGCGCCTCGCCGCCCTCCCGGCGCCGCCTCACCGCTCGGCCCGCTATGCATCAGATGATAGAGACCGCGAAAAATTCTCAATTTTTATATTTTCTATAAATTTTTTTCGGTGGATCGGCTTTTAAAAGTCATATCTTGAATACTTGCGCCTCCTAATGCGGCCGACCCGGTTCCCCGTGCTAATGACTCGGAGGTGCTGAGTGTGCCCCGGGAATGCAGGCTGCAGTTGTCGCTGGGGTCGTGACCCACGCCACGCCAGTCGCCACGCGGAGCGAGGCGGGACGGGACGTCTGTGTGAACAGGCACAGGCGGGCGCGGGTTCGAATCCCGCCACCGGCGGCGCCGCAGCCGCGTTTTCTTGATGATGCACTGGCCGAGGTGTCCGCGTCCGCGCCGCGTTCGCACGCCGGGCGCGGTAAACCGCCGCGCCGCCTTGCCCAACCGAGGCCGGCCTCGCCTTTGTGCTCTTCTTTACGCAGAGTCGGCAGGGCCTGCAGGGCACCGCCTTCGCTGCCTTCGCTGCATTGGAGCGTTGACAGGCCGGCCGCCACCCCTGCCACGCCACGCCGCGCCACGCCGCGCCGCCCAAGGCTGGCCAACTGATGGCAACCTCGGGGAAACGACCCGCGAGATGGCGTGCAGGGCACGACGCGACGCGAAATGCACCGGAGCACCCAGCAGAGCAGCCGAGTGCAGCACCATGCCGTTGCCGCCGTTTCCCTGCTTGGCTGCTCCCACACGCCCACACTCGTAAAAAAAGATCGCTAGCGCGTCAAACGCGGCAGTCGGCGAACAAGTGTATCGTCATTTACCTCCCTGAGGCTGCTGACGGCGCGGACCTCGGAGGGCGTCCGTAGCCACGCGCTCCGATGCGCCTCTCAGAGACGGGCAGGTTCGAAGAAGTGCAGCCGGTTGCATAGAAAAATTGAAATGTTAAGTGCAATCCTCACATTTGAAATTTGGCGGGGGCTGCCTCTCGGCGGGCGGGTGACCCCGACCGGGTTGCCCCCCGCTGCTCTGTTGGCAGTTCGCAGTGCGACCCAGCCGCCAGGCCCACCCGTCCGCCCCGTTGTGTTAGCAGTGTGGCCGCCGCTCTTTCTGGAGCGCTGTGGTCGGGCAGGCGGGCAGGGCGATCCGCCACTGTGTATCGTATCAGGGCCTCTCCATCGTCTGCTTCGTCGGACATAACCCAGCATTAGTACCCCCGAGACGGGCACACGAGTTACACCGACTTTATCCACCTGCCCGTGTCGTGTAATATAGTCTCCTTAAGTGTAGGTGCGCCTGAGGAGTGACGGGGAGGCCTCTCCAATAATGCCGCACTCTATAGTTGTCCACCGGGGCGCTGGTGGCGCCCCCTGGCCGGTCGGCGCGGCGCGCGCTGGTACTGCGGTACTGCTACTCCCCCTGCCGCGCCGGAGAGGGGGCGCGTCGCGTAGCGTAGCGCGCGGGCCGCGCGTGGAGGGGGATAGCCGGGTACGATGTAGGTTAGGACGGCTCGCGGGCCCACGGCGGCCACGGCGGCCACGGCGCACGCCGCGACGCGCCGAGGATGTAGGACAGCTATAAACATGGCCGTGGCGGCCCTCGGGGGCTTCACTCGCCTGCGCGCCTCGACCGCGACCAGTGCGCGCTCCGTGCTTCTCGCTCCGCGCGCTACCTTCGCACCTTAGCGACCCCGTGCGTCCCCGTGACAGGTGAGTCCCACCCCGGTGCGGCCCACCCCGGTCCCGCCGCCGCGCAGCGCCAACCAGCACCACCAGCACCACCAACAACAACAACCAGTGAACAACGGCCCCGTTTTCGAATCAACAACAACCCGACTACTGCAGCTCAAACCCCTAGTGACTGTGTGTGTGTGTGAGTGCGTGTCGTGCGCGTCGATGTGCGTCGTGTCCGTGAGTGTGAGTATGTGTGCGTGACATCGTTGTGTTGGTCAGTGTCAGTGTCGAGGTCCTGGCCGCCCTGGCCGCTCTGGGACTGGAAAGGCGCGTCCGTGTGTCGATGTGAGTTTGAATACCCACTGGCTCACTTGGCCCTCTGGAGGCAGCAGCCTTAATGCGACCGCAATGTTCCAGCTTCTCATTCAATTATGTCACCCAATTTTATTCAAATTTGTGCTGAGTCCCCTTCCCCTCAGCAAGTGTGGAGAGTATATTAGCAGTCGGAAAATCAGAGGTTGCTTTAGCTTCAGTGAGAACAAAATTTCATTCACGACATTTTCCAAATTTGCTGAACGTCATCCTCGGCGAGCAGCTCCTCTCCCATCTTGGAACAAAGTCCCGGAGGCATGCGAGCGCGGCCGGCCGGCTGAAGTTGAAGCGTTTCTGAAGTTGGCCGATTGAAGGGCCGCAGAACACGTCCTTCATTTTCTTTCTCTCTTCTTTTTTCTCTGTTTTTCTTCCCGCTTTTTCCGCGAGCCCCTCCGCGCTCCGCTTTTCGGGGTCCGGCTGCTCTTCCCCGAACTGCGGGCCCAAAATAACCAGCCAGCCGGCGCTGGAATGTCAACATTTAAGGCTCGTCCAACTCGTACGGGCGTCCACGTCCGACGGCCGGGAGTGCCGGGCCTGGCCGCGTGAGGCCGTTGCCCCGCGTCGCTCGGCACTCGCTGCACCGCCACGCCGCCAAGCGGCCCGGCTCGCCCTGCTCCCACGCCCGGATCACGAATTAATTGAATTGTTGGACTTTCTCAGACGCCGAGCCGCGCTGACGCGCCGAGCACTAAGCCGTGCTCGGAATGATGGCGCTTTAATGATCGTGTAAAAGTGACGATGGCTTTCTCGGGATCCATCCGGCGCGGCGCGGCCCGGCCCGGCGGGGAGGGACTCGCCCGAATTAGTGCCTAACCTAACCTAACCGCGCGGTTCGTGTCAATCCGTTCCCACCGCCTTCCTGCAGAGCCTGCAACGCCTGCAAAGCCTGCAAAGCAAATCCAACAGGCTTGCCAACCACGCCACGCTCGGGTCGACGTCCTGCCGGGCACTGCTGGGTCGCTCTGGGTGTGTGCGCACGTGTGTCTGTGTGTGTCTGTGTGCGTGTGACCCGGTAGCCGCGCAGGTACCTGCTGGAGTGGAAGGAGTACTCGATACTCCGTCGTCCGCTATTCGTTCTTTTATTTTTTCTTCTTGGAAGCGGCGCGCGCTGCGTGCGCTGGGAGGGGCACGGGGCACGGCAGTCACTGACCACGGCCCGATAAACAGAGACCTCACTTGTCCGCCGGGACTTGAAACCACCTGAAACGCGCCTGCCTGCCCGAGCACATCCTCCTCGTCCCGATGTCCGATTCCGCAAAGTGTGCTCGTTGCTACGTCCCTGTCGCACTCCAGGGTCGTTTAGTAGAAGTGCGAGAGAGACAGAGTGTGAGTGTCGTGCTCTCCTGGCCGCTAACAGTGTGTTAACGGCTGCGGTCCAATGTGGCCACTCTTTACTACATCCGAGGCCGTGGTTCCGGAGAGGCCCGGAGGGGGCCGCCCGGAGGGGGCTGCGGGGGCACTGGGTCAACCAGTCGCGGCCGGGGCCTCGGCCTGGCCGTGTCAACCACCTGTCGGGAATGCGTGCAAGCACGCCCCCCGCGCCCCCCTTCCCCGCGCCGGGCAAACCTTGGCGATGGGCAGGGCCGGGCAGGGCCCCCAGACCCCATCGGGGATCCGGGAGAGGAGAGGGAAGGACGGATGACACGTGACGGGCCAGAGAAAGCACGCGGCACGCCGCACGGCGGTCTTGGTCTTCGGCCGGGACCGGGCATTGCGGATCGCTGCCGCCGTCTGCGAATTGCCAAAAGCAAATTAATGACGAGACAATGGCGAGGCCCTCGGGGTCGCGGGGGGCACGCGGGGCCGGCCGGCCGTTTTATGTGTCGCTGAAGCCCAAACCAGCCTTCCCCTCCCCTCCCCTCCCCTGCCGGCCACGGCCCGGCGGTGGGATGGGCACTGTACCGTTGGCGGCGCTGCCGGGCCGGGTTGGCCGGGCTGGCAGAGCCCCTGCGAACCAGGGGTAGGCCGCCCTGCGAGGCAGCGTGCGTGCGTAGTGCCTACGTCGCCCCCATTACCATTACCATTAAGGGCCAGACCCGTAAGGCGCTCCCGCTCGCCTCCAGCAAGCATTGACAATGCGGTCAGGCGAAAAAAAATCCCATGATGCACTGGGAGCGCAGAGGGCAGCCTTTCGGGTGAGTTTTTGCCAGTGCAGCTTGCTGTAGGATTCGTCCTTATTCCGCTGCCCCTTAGGCAAACCCTTGGACGCCCCGCGGCGCGTCGTGGGAAGTAGATTCTCGGCGGCACAGCACCGGGATGGCACTGCTCTTGTCAGTGACGGCGTCAGCCTGGCCTCAGTGCCGGGCTGACTGACGGCCGGGGGACGAACAGACGTGGCAGACAGACAGACGGACGGACAGACGGCCTCCTGACGTCACCAGCGCGGTCGCATTCCAGGCGCAGCATCACCGTGACGTGGAGCGAACAGCGAACGGTCCTGCGTCTGCATATAAAGTGCCCGGGGTCAGGAATGATTGGGGCGAGGAGGGGCGGCGGGGAGTGAAAGAAAAAAAGGTGCGGGCTTCTGTGGAAGAGGGCGCTGCTGGCCAGGCCGCGCGCTATTGGCCGGTGCAAGTGCGGCGCGCGATTTGGTTGCGTCGCGGACGCGGTCGCGCGGTCGCGGAGGTGGTGATGCAGTCGTGGAGCGCACTGCGCAAGACAGGCACCGTCTCTTTGCGCCACCCAGCGCCCCGGCGTGACAAGTCCGACTTAGGCTGTGTCGCCCACGCGCCCGGCCCGAGGATGATCCTTGAAATAAAACCATCCTCAGATACTTTATCAGTGTGGTTGGCGGTGTGCGGTGGATCGCCGGCGAGGTCCTCGAAGGGCACCCCTTGCAGTGCGAGAGCGACAACGCAGGACCCTTTGGTCATGAGGTCGCGAGCCCGGCCTAGCGGCCAGTCGCGGGGCAAGGTTGGCCAACGCGACGTCCATCAACGGCCGCCTTGCTGGCTGGCGCCCCCCCCCCCCCCCCGACCGTCCTTAAGAGGAGAACCCGTAATGGAACTGTTGGTCGGCCAGCCGGCACGTGCGCAGGCCGAGGCGCGACAACGCACCGCCTTTCAAAAAAAATAATGCCAAAAATTAAAACTTTTTTATTTTATTTTTTTAGCCGGAGACCGTCGCTAAGTGGCGCCTGAGCGGGTTGACAGACGCGGACCGCGCGCCCCGAGTGCTCGGTTCTGTCGCGTTTCTCGTTGTCTTTTTGTTTTATGCAACGCCCGCGGCCCGCGAGCCGCGGCGCGGCGCCTAGGATTCCTACTCCCGTATGCAGCCCGCGCGGCGCACGGCCGCAGCACGCGGCACGCCGTATGGATGTGTCGAAATGGAACTCTCGTCTTTGTTTGGCAAGCGGTGCCGTTTTTTTTTTCTTTCTCTTTGCTTTCTATCGTCGATCCACGTTCCAAGGCATTCGGGTATCGCGTCGCTGACTGACGCGGCGCCGCGCGGCGCTCCGGTCGTCCCTTGCGTTGAGGTCCCCGCCAGGGGAAAACCGCGAGTACAAGGCGAGTCGAGGGGGGCGTCCTCCGTCCTCCGTCCTCTGCGGCCACGCGGCCCGTGGAATGTTCGCGATGCCGCGTCTCAACAGCGCCTCGTCGCCGTCTGTCTCTCTCGCTCTGGCGCGGGGTCCCGGGGGCGAAGCCGGCGAAGCGCCGCGCGGAGTGAGCCCACTGCAGCCTGCGGGGCCCGCGGCATGCGTTTGCCAGAACTTTCCTTGCCGTGCTGCCGCGCGGCTCGGCGCGGGGGGTCGCGGTCGAGGCCAGGACTCTCCTCTCCGCCTCCTCGGACTCCTCGGACGAGCCCAACTTTGTTGCGACGCCCGTCCCGTCTGGCTGGCTGGCGGCCCGGCGGCCCGGCGCGCGGCTCCCTGACCAGTTCAAAATCCCCCGTTCTGCCGCTTCCACCGACGGCACGGCGACGGCTAGCCTGACCACGGGATTGGCTGAGGACGATGAACCGCTGCTGGGCTGGGTCTGGGCTGGGCCCTGGCCGCCAGCCCGCCAGCCGGCCGCTTGGCTCGCCGTAAAGGACCCGGTGGTGATGCGTCCGCGCGCCCGCCGTGCCGGCCGTCTTCGTCTGCCCCTGCTTTCACTTGACACAGTCCGGCCGGCCGGCCTGTATGGCACCCAAGGGTGCGTGCCTTACATCAAGACCCCCTCCCCCTCCCCCTTCCCCGCCTCACGATGCACGCCTCCACCTTGCCGCGGCGCACGCACTGCACGCCGAGGTCGGCGGCCACTGCATCCTGCAGCAGCCTGCAGCATCTTGCTCCACGGCATGCTGGCCGTGCTCCTGATCCCCAAAGCGCCCCGCTCGCCCCGCCGCCACGGAGCGCAGCATCCTCGACCTCCGGCGGTCCGCGGCGGCGGCAGTGAAGGGTCGGCGATGCACGTGGCAACCGTCTGCTTCACCTTGTATTGACTATTACGTGAGGACGGCCGAGCGGGGGAGGGGAGGGGGCGGGGGCTCTCCATCCTTGAGCTGGCCTGCTTAGAATATGGGCGCCGCAAGAGCGGTGCAAGCGCGAGCGTGGACAACGAGACCGCAACGGGTAACGATGAGGAGAACAAAGTCACAGCAGGGTCTTTTTTCTGCGTTTTTTTTAACAGTGTCTCCGCGGACCTAGGCAACGTTATCATCGTACTTGTCCCTTTTTTTCTAAAGTGAATCGTGCGGGGTTGAAAAAAAACGGGTAGTTTTATCACAAATGTCTCAGTCACGATCAGTCGCGAAATAAAAAACGACCCGCCGATTGTCGATGCCTGGGTGTTCTTGGCGGCCGCACAGGTGGGTGGCCTCCCACGCGCGGAGCATCGCCAGGGTCATTTCTTTTGCTTTCGGCGAGCGATAATAACACGCTCGGGGATCGTGCCTGTCAAAGCGAATAATTATTTATCTCCCAACGGGCCGCGGTCACTTTCCTTCCTGATGCAGCGCCGCGGCCGAACGGCCGAACGGGCCGCCGAACGGGCCGCCCCGCTGCAGCGCCGCCGAGCCATCTTTCACAGTGCAGTGACGCCCCGGACCGGAAGGCAGCGAAGGCGCCCGTCGAACGGCATCCCGTCGACGACGGCACTTGTCACGAGACGGTCCGAGCGACAGCGTCTCTCTCGCACCCATACGGCGCCGCGCAGCGGTGCGAGAGAGACAGAGCGACGGAGGAAAGGTCAGCGTTACATGACGAGCGGCAGCACCGCGCTCTGTTTACTGCCCAGTGTCATTGTCCGCCACGGCCTTCTTCGCCTGGCCGACGCGGAAACCGCCCCGATGGTGAGGATAGTACTAAAACCGATGCAAAGGCGTCGCTTCTGGTGGAACGAGACGGAGATGGAGAGAGACGAAAACCGCGAAAGGCGCGGCTTGGTCGGTCGGGTAGGTCCAGGACGCGCCGCCCCACAGCAGCTCTCACGGTCAAACCGCATTCTTTCGCTTTTTTTTTTCGGAGCGGCCGCGGAGGGAAGAGTTACTTTGCGGATCCGCCAATCCGCGGCAGGAAAAGCCAAAGCGATAATTGTCGGAGAAAGTCCAAGACCGGCGAAGTTTAATTTGTAGACCCGCGCAAACACGTAGCACGCGTGGCATACACGGCGGCGGGTTGCGCGGCGTTGCTTGCCCAATTGGCGGGCCAGTTTTGAGGAGTCTGCCGGCCGGGATGGCTCGCCCCATGAGTGCGAGAGAGACGGAGTCAGTCTGCTGCCCAGCAAAGCATGCAAAGTCAAATCTCTCGCAATAGTTTTTTTCTTTCCGAATCGGCGGTTGCTGACGTGCGCGCTGCGTCTGGCCTTCCCGCACGCCGTCTTCCATCCCCTCTTGGTCGGCGGGGTGCCCCAAGGGGTGCCCGGTGAAGCCCGGCGCGGCGGGCCCAGTGCGTACGCGGCGGCCGTCGCCAAGCGTGTGCGAGAGCCTTTACGACGTGGGAACAGACAGGTTGCTGTAATGTCATAATACGACGGCGCGCACGGTGTAGTGTGTTTGCGCACGCTTTCTCACGTGCCGCGCGCCGTGCTCGAGGGAGAGACAAGAAACGGCGTGCCGATAAGACCGATGAGGGAAAGAAGCGGGAGGTCGTCTGTCAGTGTGGGAAACGCACTGAGCACGCGGCGGGTGGTGTGGCGCTGGCGGTCCAGGACGCAGGGACTGCCCTTTTACGAAAACTCACCCTTTCGGTACAACAGAAAATTAGATTTTTCTAGCCGTGAAGTCGGCACTCCCTGTTCCGTCGTCGGCCTCTCCTCTCCCGCCGTGGCCAATTTCTCCTCTCGCGGTCACGAGGACGCCGAGGACGCCGACGAGTGTCGCCGCCGCGCAGCATCCGCGGCGGGCGCCCCAGGCGGCCTCGGCGGCCAGGCGGCGCCCCCAGCCCGCTCCGTCAAGTGCACCAAGTTCAACATTCACTGCGCCGGCGGTAGCCTGCTGGGGAACTTGATCAATGCACTTGCCGGGCAGGAGGCGGGTGGGTGGGTGGCTCCGGCCGCCGCTACACTTGTTCGGGCTGGAATCCAATCCCCCGTAGAGATTGGCCCGGCGGGCGGTGCGGGAGAGGGAAAGGGGGGGGGGGGGGGCGCTCCGCCCACAAGCAGCAGGTATCCTGCTGGTCACCTTGACCCCCCAGGGGACGGCCGGCCGGACAGGTCCCGGCGCGGCGGGGCGCGCGGCCAGATCCCTATTACTTTCTCCCAACGACGACGACGACGACGACGCAGGTGAAAGGGCACGTTACTGGGAGGCAAAGGCGTCGGGTTTGTTGCAGCACCAGTCGAACACACACACACACACACTCACACACACGCACGTGCAGGCTGCTGTTGTTGTTTTGGTTGGATGCTGTGTATGTTGTTGCTGCTGCTGGAATGCTCACGGTTGGTTTGTGCCACACAGGTGCTCACCATGCGCGCCAGCCTGCTGCTGCTCGTCTTAGGCGTGGTGGTCGTCTCCGCACAGAGGCGGCTCGCCCTCCCCGACCCAAGGAGTTGTGCAAACCGTGAGTATCCCGGGTTCGAATCCCGCTAGGGTCTTTGTTATTTCTCGAGTTTTCGGCCCTGTTTTTCTTTGGTGCTGACGATGTCTTTCGGCGACGCAGGCGTGCGGCACTCGACGTACCGCGACGCTCGGGGCGTGGCCCACGCCTACTTCTTCAGCTGGGAGCACGCCCCCACCAGGAACCTGGAGGTGGACTGGCTGGACGCGAGGAACATCTGCCGACGACACTGCATGGACGCCGTGTCGCTCGAGACCCCGCAGGAGAACGAGTTCATCAAGCAGCGCATCGCTCGCGGTAAGGACACGGCGCGACACTGCATGGCGTGGTAGCCGAGCGGCTAGCGCACCGTCACCGGCCCCGCGGGTCCCCGGTTCGCGCCTCGCCTGGCGCGTGGTGAAATCAGGACGCGTGCAAGGGTGGTGACAGGGCATCAAGGAAAGGAGCCGACTTCTTGGTTTAGTCATTTATTTGTTTTGCCGCCGAAAGAACTCCACCCTGGTTTCGTAAGGCGTTGGATGAAACCAAGCAATCCATGCGGCCCAGGAAGAAAGGTGGAAAACCAGCGTCGTTCTTCTGGAATGCAGCGGCAATCTATCTCTCTCGCACCCGCGCCCCACAAGTGCGGGAGAGACAGGGCGACGAAAGCACTGCGTTCGGAATGCGCCCTGCTCCTCGCGCCGTCCATGGAAAGCATGTTTCATAACGTCATAACGTGATGAATTGCCGCTGTGCTGCGTTTCCTTATGCGGGTGCTATTCAGGGGGCGGCTGGTGACAGGTTGGGAAAGGGGGGGGTGAGCCAATGAGATGACGCCCGCCGCCATTCCATTCATAGCCAGGCAGGCACCAGGCCGTCGGCCGATTCCGAGCCGTTCTTCGTCACTCACCTCCACGGCACGCCCCGCGAGTGCGAGAAGGACAGAGCGACAGAGGACGGTTCAGGATCGCTCGACAGGGCCGCGCGTGCCCGAGGTACTCACCAAAGGACGTGCGGTAGGACAGGTGCGCCACGCCGCGCCACCACGCCGTTACTAGCAGATCGCTTTCACCTCACGACCTGACCCCGCCACGCCCCGCCACGCCCCGCCACGCCCCCGGCCGCCGCGCCGCGCCCCACATGGTCGCCTCCCGCGCGTCCCGCTCATCGCCGCCAGGAAGAGGCGACCTGGCTGGCGCGTGGCGGCGGTGCGGGCCGCGTCCGCCCCGACGGCCTGCTCGAGGAGGACGAGGACGGCGTCGCCATGGCGTTGTTGTCGAGGCTGGCGGTCGCTAGGCCGGCCGCGGGGAGCGCCTGCGGTCGCCAGGATAGCCCGCCCAGCGACGCACCCTTGTGTTGCGGGCCGGCCTACGCTGCAGGCGCCCGGGTGCCCGACGGCCACCCTTGACGGCGGCTCAGCTGAAAGTCACGCCTCGCCTCGGGTTGAGTGGCTGCCCGCCAGCCCCGGCGGGGCGGCATGGTGGCCTGTCTGCCAGCCCGGCGGTGCGGACGTCGGCGGCGTGCGTGTCGGTTTGAGTGGTGGGCCACCGTGGGCCACGCAGCCGCCAGCCTCGCGGGGCAGGTGCTGCATGGCGGGCCGTACCCATACCGTCAGGCCGTCAGGCGAGAACTCTCCCTCGGCTCGGCACGAGTCCGCCGCGGCGCGCCGGGTGCCATCGTGCCATCATCATCAACAAGGACCGAGTTTGGGGCCGTGTCGGCCGCGCCATGCCGCCGTGTTGTGTGAGAGTGCAGTCAAAGCCGTCTGGGCCCGCCGTCCCGCCCAGCCTCTCTCACGCACACACACGCACGCTCACACACACGGGCAGCCGGACCGCGTGCACCGCGTGCACCGCGTGCCAAGCCGTGGTCATGAAGTGCCTCCCGGCCGTGGCGAGCCGGGCCGGGCCCCAGAGAATTTATACTTTCAACTACTATGCCGCTGCAGCCGCTTGTTGGACGGAATGAGATGCAAGCCGGGCCCGGCCGGCCGGCCTTTTGCAAATAACAAAGGACAGTTTCACCTGCGCGTTCCGTTCCGCTCTTTGCCCTGGGCGAGCAGAGCATTTACCCGGCGTGCCTCGTGGCTCGGCGCGTGCTTGCGTGCGGGCCGGCCGCGTGTGTCGTTCCCAGCCATTGCAGCGCACCACTGGCTGCCGCCACGCGGACACGCCGAGGACGGGCCGTTTTGCGCGCGTTGCTCGCTTCGCTAGTCCGCGGGGGGCGTGGCGCGGGGCGCGGGGCTCCCAGACCACACGCCACTTAATTAGACGCGGAGCCGGCCGGCCGGCCGCCTCTTACTTTTCACATTTCCAATTTTAATAAACTGGTGCCGGTGGCCCTCGTTGATCCCGCCCGATTCGATCCGGTCGTTTAATCAGCCTCCCCCTCCCTCCGCAGGTAACGTCCGCTACATCTGGACGTCCGGGCGCAAGTGCAACTTCAACGGGTGCGACAGGCCCGACCTGCAGCCCGCCAACGTCAACGGCTGGTTCTGGTCCGGCTCCGGCGCCAAGATCGGCCCCACCACCCAGAGGAACACCGGCGACTGGTCGCACACCGGCGGCTTCGGCCAGGCCCAGCCCGACAACCGTGAAGCACCCCAGGTAGGTGTCCGCGACCGGGCCCTTTCCGCCACACTTTCCGCCACACTGGTGGCCCGGTGGTAACTCAGCTCGGCCGGCAGGCTGATTCCGGGCAGAGCTCCGCCACTCCGTCCCTCTCGCACCCCCGCGGGCCGCCCCGTGGGTGCGACAGAGCCAGAGCGACGAAAGCACTGCCAAGAATCGGCCTGGCGGCGTGCATGACGCCCTCGCTGACAGACAACGCGGCTCATGAATCGCTCTCAGGGAGAAACCGCGAATCTCGTGTAACGGCCCGTCGCGCCCCGCGCGTCCCCGCCGCAGCAACCACGCGCGAACCTCATTCTCCGTCCTTGTCGCTCTTGGCGAGAGTTTGGAGTGCATTCCTGTGAGACCAAACTCTGCTGTGGCACTTCCGGGCGCGCCTCGCCAGTCTCACAGAGAACGGAGACGTCTCATACAGAGAAAGCCGTCACTGCAGACTGATTCGGAGAGTCTCTCTCGCACTCATGGGGCGTCGCCCACAGGTGCGAGAGAGGCAGAGCCACGGAAGCCCTTCTCGGAATCGGATTGCTGGGAGGCGCAAGCATCAGCCCCTCCTAATTGCGTGCCGTCGCGGCCGGCCGGCCCAAAGAAAACGCAAAAACGCGGTGGCGGCGGCGGTACTCGAACCCAGGCCCGCCGCCGCCACCGCGGAAGGGCCCCTGGGCGGCGCCTAGACAACGCGGCTGCGATGCGATGCGGCGCGTCGACCCAACCGGACCGACCCAACCGACAATAGAGAAAGTTGTAAATCACTTCCCGAAAGTGTTGCGTCGCGGGGCGTCGCGGGGCGCGGCGCGCGGTTTGGCGGCACCTCGTCAAGTGTCGTTGACTCGCGGTGCTCCGCGCACTGCCGGCCTGCCGCCCTGCCGCCACACCGCGAGACGGGGATCCTTTGAATGGCGCGATGCCCATCGAGCCGTCTGTCTCTCAGCGGGGCGCCTTGACTGTGACTGTACAGTGTGTGTCGTGTCTGTGTCTCCACTTCCCCTGTCCTGTCGGTCCTGTCCCGCTTCTTCGTGGTGCATGCGTCATCGCTTGTGACCGCCGCCGCGGCATGTCGCTCTGCTTCTCCCTGCCGCGATGGCATGCCGCACCCCCGGAGCTGGCAGAGGCCCGCGGCCCGGCAAAAGCGGAATCCCCTTGCTTGTCTTACTGCGGCTGGGCTGTGTTTGTAGAAAGCAGCTCCCCCAATTTGCACGGTGGCGGTGGCACTCTCCGGATGTTTGGTCTGTGTGTTTGGTCGCGCTTCCGGTGGCCGGCCGTCGCCGCCGCGCCCCTGCACTCGACGACCATGACGACGGCTTCAGCGGAGGACCGCGGAGGACACCCTGGACGGCGCGTGGACCCACGGAGCAGCTTGGCTTGACGGAGAAGTACGCCGCGGACAACAGGCCTTGCATTGCCTTCACACGCCCTGCTTGAGGCCGCGATGCCAACCCCTTGCTGCACATAGAGGTCTCGTCCTCACCCACGCCTGTACTCTTTGCGCATGCCGAGTTGTGGGCGTTTCCGTTCGGAGGAACCAAGTTCAAAAATTTGGCTTCTCTGTACCTAACGCCTACGTCTAGATATGGCATTCTGAGCTATTGGGGTAGGGCGTTCGTTTCGTCGGTTGGCTGCATCCTCCCATCGGCATGCCCGCCTTGTTCGACTCATCCAGCACCCCACACTGCCGACATGCTGCCGCGCTCGCCCTGAGGACGCAAGGACAACGGACGCCGCATGTTGGTAGCCCTGCCAGCGAGCTTGAAGGACGCAAGGACAACGGACGCCGCATGTTGGTAGCCCTGCCAGGGCGCTTGAAAGGACGCAAGGTACCTCAGCCAGCATGGAGGACTGCACCATTTCCCCCTACAACAGCAGGCCAGCAACCCTGGCAGCCACTCGGCTCCGCACCGCTCCGCACGCATCTAGTCATGGCGTCATGAGGACGCCGGTTCTTTCATTACAATTAGTATTCCTCCCCTTGCCGCGTAATCAAGTGAGAAAACGGAATTTCTCACCGCGAATAGAATAAGGGAGACTTTTCCCTTTCTGAAAGGCTTCGGCCTGGGCACCGCTCATGCTCATGCCGGCCGTAAAAGAAGCGCAACAGTTTCCTCTTCAACGCGCGAAAAAAAAGCAACAAAAAAAACGAAACAACAAAAACACGCGCAACTGGTTTATATTTACGATAACTGCAGAATTCGTCCATTCAAAATTTCGCTTTCTCCTCGGAGCCGAGTGACACAAAACCTGCCATGCCATTGGATCGCGCTCGCGCCTGATCCCCACCCCCCTTTTCCCCCGCACACCGCGCACCCCTCCGCCCGCGTTCTTACACAGTCACACACACACACACACGCACACACACAAACATGAAACGCTATCCTCTTAACGTGACGCAGGGCAACGACGAGTCCTGCCTGTCGATCCTCAACAACTTCTACGGCGACGGCATGAAGTGGCACGACGTGGCCTGCTACCACCGCAAGCCCTTCGTCTGCGAGGACAGCGACGAGCTCCTCAACTTCGTGGGCTCCCGCAACCCCGGCATCCGGCTCTGATCTCTTCCGCCGCTCCGCCGCTCCGCCGCGGTGTGGTGGTGCCACTGCAGCCACGGCAGCCACCGCCACGTGCACCTCCAGCGCTACCAACATTGCCATCCTCATCATCATCCATCACCAGCCTCGGCTGTTGTGCCAACTCATTCAAATTATTTATTGAGTACTTTCTCTCTCTCTCTCTCTCCTCTCTCTCTCTCTCTCTCTCTCTCTCTCTCTCATCCTCCCTCTGCAGCAGCAATTCCTACATAGCTCCCTCGTTGTCTGGTCACATCTGGTCACATTCCTTTTCTTCTTTCACTTTGTTATGTCGATTGTTTGCTGTGTTCCCCATGCCCCTCCCCCTGTTGTAACTACTCCATTAGAGTGCGTAGTGCGCGATCCCACCTATTGTGAATATCTCTGTCCTCTCTCTCTCTTTCCTAGTGTACTTTATGTATTAAATTAAACAATAAATCGTGTGTCGCTTTGTATTTCTGTGTGGTGTTTGTCCGCTTCTTGTGTCTCTGTGTTCAATCTGTTGTCGGCATCTCGGTGAAAAGTTTTCCATTCAAAACGAATGCCCTACTTCTTTACCAAACCGTAGTAGCTCTGTACATTCACGTGCTACACACAGAATCTCAAGAGAGAATATGTGTGTGTGTACATAACCACTTAGACAATTACAGCCAGCTCCAGCAACAGGTTCGTACGCTTATTTATGTCTTAACAAATCATTAATCTTAAGCGCCGGCTCGGCGCGGGGGAGGGGGAGGGGGAGACCCGGCTGGGGAAAGCAGCTCACCTGCTGCTGCCGCTGCTGCTACACTGGACTCGATACAGTGTCTTCCTCTTCGCGTCCGCCCCGCCCCGCCCGGCCTGGCCCCGCCTGGCCCCGCCTGGCCTGCCCCATTCCAGGGCGGCATTTGGCAGTGCGGGGTCGCCGTCGTCACGCTCGTAAACACTTTTAGGGAATCCGCATTCCGCGCTCGGCGTCTGTCTGTCTGTCTGTCCGTCCGTCCGTCTGACTGTCCGTCCGTGTGTCCAACCGCACAATGGCTGAGCGGCACGCCGGCGTCTAGAGTCCGGCCGTCCGGGCCGCGCTCCATTCCACTCCATCGCCGATCTTGCACTTCGCTTTCTCTGTCACGATGCCCCTGGCGGGGCCTAGCCCGGCCAGCCGGCCAGGCAGCCCAGCAGAGGAAGCCAAGTCATACCCCCATTTTGTTTTCATTGTGTGATAAAAGGGAAAAGAAAGGCACGGGGCAATCGGCCCGGCACGTAATGACAGTTACGACTCCCGGGTGGCACTTCCTCCATGATCCACGTGTCGCGGTCGTAATCAGACAGAGAGGGGCGATGCCCGGTGCGGCGCGAGGCAGACAGAGACGGAGTGACGAAAGCACTGCACGGAATCAGTCCGCAGGGCACCCTTCCTGGCAGCCAGGGCCGGCGCCGAAACCATTGGCACACGCACGCCTGTGTGTGTGTGAGTGCCGTCCGCGTGTGTCGGTGTCGAGCCCCGCGACCTCGTCCGAGGAATAGAAAGGCTTTGTGGCTGATCCAGCCTTCCGCCACGCCAGGCGAGGCGGGCGAGGCGCGCCACTAGTAACAAAGTAACACGCCTTGTTCTGTTTCGCGTCCGCAGGGCAACGACGAGTCCTGCCTGGCCATCCTCAACAACTTCTACAACGACGGCGTCAACTGGCACGACGTGGCCTGCCACCACCTCAAGCCCTTCGTCTGCGAGGACAGCGACGAGCTGCTCAACTTCGTCCGCTCCCGCAACCCCGGCATCCGCCTCTGATCCTGCCATACACAGCAAGAAAACAAAAGTGTTATTTAATAAACGTTGCCAAAAGGAGATGTGCAGGTTAGCGTACGTCCGAGTGCGTGTGTGAGTGACTGAGTGTGAACGTGTGAGTGTGCGAATGTTCGATGACAGAGAGAGAAAGAGACAAAATTATTACTTGGACCGACACGACTGCTCGCTCGGCGCAGGCATTGTTGATTTGTCACGAGAGAGAAGAGGGGGAAAGCAAGACGCCACGTCGACGTCGTGTCGGTTGGTTTACTTGTCTACTTCGACCAAACCCCTGTGAATAAACCTTCCACCCTCGACGAGAACTATGTACAATCTGTTTCTTTTTTATCTATTTTATAATAATTTAAATAAATTAGTAAGTTAGAAAGAACGTTTGCTTTTGATTACTCCTCGCTTCCAACTACACTCCTCATCCTGTAATACTCTCGTTCTCTTCTATCAAAGAGAAGACCTCGGTACCGCGGTTGTGAGCGCCTGCAGAGCAAGGGATATGCAAGCCAGCTCAACAGGCGTGCGCGGCGGGCTAGCCTATCCCATCTCGCGCAGGCGCTTTTGTATGGGAAACACTACTCAGCTGTTTGTTTCCGAGCTGGTTTCATCATCCCGCGCCAAATCGCAGTAGGGCTAATGTTTTGAGGGTGGACGAATGGTACTCCTGCAAAACGTGGCTTCGTGATCCAAGACTCAAAATAAGCAACTCAGGGAGGCAAACTTTTTCTAGAAATTTTGTTTTCTCTTTTATGGTTAAAGATAGTTTTTGTGCAGATTCTGTATGAAGGTTTGTTTAAAAAAATATTCATGTTTAACAACCACTAAGCTTTATTTGTATTTTTACTAAATTAGACGCATTTTATTTGACAACATGTTGTTTACTCAAACAACACAGACAGCAAAGAATGGCGAAAATTCTTCCTTACTGCAATCATGACAAAATAGGTCTTCTTTTTTACATGAAGTATAAATGATGATGTTCATGAGGAATTACATCAAAATGGGGGTAAAATATATGGTTAGACGAATAATTAAGCATATTGGTCACATGAGCCGTATAAATATCAGATAGCCTGTGAATTTTTCGGTAAAAGAAACTTGGGTTGTTTTCTGACCGAAACACTGATCCAAATTGGGGGTTGAATGCCACCTTCAAGAGCTTCCTAAAAACAGAAATTTGAAAGTCTAAATTTTCTCACCAACCTAGTCTAGAGCTACATGCATCAATCCTGGAAAGATTACATCATTGCTACGGAATGAGGGATAACTAAGACCATTAGCAGTTCTATAATTACACTCAAACAGATAACATGTTACAAGCAAGCATCTTGTTTGTTCTAAATTTAATACCCAACCAAGTAAGATAAACATTAGAGCTCAGAGAACAGAAAGCACAGAGCTAACTTTCATACATGTAACTAACACATGTATTGTCATCAATTGCAAAATCACAGAATTAATCACTGACAAGCATAGCACATACACTACTCATCTCCACAAATATACAACATTTATGCACAAATGTATCATCACTATGTGTTGCTTTCTCAATTTTCACTCTACATGCCGTAGTTTACATGAACTAACAGATCAGATACACACTTCTAGCAAAAGGTCACCTAGATCATAGATCTTATAGAACAATAACCAATCTGGACAAAAATAATGCAGAGTACAGACATTGCTCTTACTTGAAGAGAAAAATCATCAGTAAGATAACAGGCAAAGTCATCTGATGTCAAGACTGCAGAATTTTTAGTCATTTAATCCAACAATAGGAACATGAGCTAAAAAATAAATAAATTAGATAATACATAAGAACACACAACACATATTTTTATTTCTTGGAAAGTGCATCATGACTGAAATAAAAGTGTATTACTAAAAAAACAAACAAAAAATAAAACAAAACAGAAACAAACAAGCAAGACAGCGATAGAGTAACTTGACTTGTTCTACCCCTTCATAAAAACAAGTGTAACATTTCCTGCTGTTCAACAATCCGCAGCTGTATTAGATGTACTGATCATGCTAATATGATCACTCAACATAAACTCTCAAACATGAGAGGTAGACTAGTGAATTGAGCAATAATGTCACAAGTTTCACTAAATATATTTGCTCAGCAAACAATAACAGATATTGGTAACATCAAAAGACACTACTCAATGATACAATTAAAAGATATTACCCTTCAAAGTTTATAATAGAATATATCTTATGAATTGAACAGATCATGATTATGGCTGGTACCCCCACAGTTTCCTCCAACAGTCTTTAAAATTCAAGAGGCAAAATTCATTTGCTTTTTAACATTATTTTACAGGTACAATGAAGGGAAGGATATCCCTTTAACATTCAATTTTAGACATGTCTGATTTAATACTGATTTCCTCAATACAGCCTCAAAACATAACAAAAGGTACAGAAATTTGTAGAAATAACCTGCAAATAATACTTGTCACAGGATATGGGAGCTACAAGACCCTGTCTGTCAGTAGTTTTCTCCAGGGATAGCTCAATAAGAATTACCAAAATATAATCATCAAATATTTTCTTACAACAAACTAAACGAAGTATGATGAATACTCATGAGGCATCACTCCCCGTCTCGGGAAAAATGTGTGATCCGTAGAGTAATGAAGCAAATTTGTCACCTTGGCAGTGTATATGTCAGCGAAGCGGAAAAGTCGCCTGGAGAAATATGTAGGGTTGTTGAAGGTTCGAAATACTGAACCAAACTGAGGATTGAAAACACTCTTGATAGCAAGCCTAGAAAATATAAATAACAAACAGTTATGAACAAACAGGGATAATAAGACAACAAAACTAAGACAGAAGAATAGGCCGTAACAAAAAAGATAGATGTGAATTCAATTCAAGACAAAAAATATAAGTTACAAAGACATACTCAATAAATATAATTACTAAAACAAGATGTCACCCCCCAACAACACAAACAAAAAATAACATTTATTGATTCAAACATATCATGCACAAAATAAAAAAAAATAAAATACAAGCCCCAGATACGGACAACAATAGGGAACTACAGAAGGTTCAAACAGAAACAACAGGAAAAGAAATGTGAGAGAAAAGAAAGTTTAAGGTTTATGTACTTTTAAAGGGCATACCTCCTACATAAAGTAAGACCAGTACTCATGTGGCATTACACCGCGTCGAGGAAAGAAGGTGTGCTCAGACGAAAAATGCAGGAGATTTGTCACATGAGCTGTGTAGATATCAGCAAATCGGAAAAGCCTCCGCGAAAAATAGGAAGGATTGTTGTATGTTCGAAAGACTGATCCGAACTGAGGATTGAAGACTTTCTTCGTAACTTGCCTGGAAATAGGGTTTGTGAAGTTTAAAACTTTGTACTAAGAGCATGTCAAAATGTGTTGACAAAAGCAGCATACCGGTATTCCCAAAGATTAGTGACCATTAAAAATAAAGTTTCATTCCCATCTTTTTTTTCCCTTTAGTTCAAGATTGTGGGTATTGTTAAGGAATCAAGCAGGGAGCAACACTTAAACTCCCTCAAAATGAAAAACAACCATTGCTGCTACTTTTACACAGCACAAGACAAGCATGTGCCATCCCATGCACTAAATGATACAGGAAACAAAAGGAAACCATCACCAAAGCTCAGGTAGGAAACACAAACTGCAACCACTCACACAACTATAATACATGGTAAAGACTGAATCAAGATTTTTTTCCTTGCCAATTTCTACTACAACCACTGTTTTAAGAGACAAAATCCTTGCTCAGAAAATTTAATTTACAAAGATTCAGTGGACAAAGACAAACACCCAAAATGAGAGCAATGAAACAAGCAGAAAGAAGGCTTAAACAGGATGAAACTCACCTCAATTGATCTCGCTCTTCAATCCATTTATCTAGAACTCTTTTAGCCATTGGATTATCCTCAATTTCTTGATGGTCCTCTATAAGCATTGTTAGCATCTGAAGCCAATTGCAGTTCAGTTTAAATTCATCATTATTTAATGTTTGAATTTCATGCTGAAAAGAAAGGCAGATGTAAGTTGGAGTCATGAAATCTGAGAATGTTCTAGATAGACAAAGCACATGAGATCCTATGATGGTAATTCTTACTGAGAGTTCATGCACAATGGCTCCTGTACGCCAACCATGCTCTAGAGTCACATCAGCAAGATCAGTGTATGGGTGGTCACCAAAGTAAAGAACTTGTTTCCCCTGCCAGCCAGTGATACCTTCAAGTTGCTTCAATGTACCCTTTAAACAAGAAGAACATTCATCAAATATCTTCTAAAGGAAAGCAGGGGGAAATATTGTCAGTAAAATTCTTACCTCACAATATATTTGACCTTTTTCAAGCTTTGTGACACGGTCCCACAAATGGACATGTGATTTTGTATCATACATACGAATTGGTCTTGATTCATCAGTAAAAAAACGAGGCTTTCGTGCTTGAACAATTACAACGTCGAAAAAGTCCCGCCAATCATCACCCACAAGAAGGGTCATTCCAGTGTTTCTGTAATGAAAGAGATTTAGTTAAGAGCTCCATGCTGTTAAGTATGACCTGTTGAAGTTTACTAAAACTTACACAAAATTATAAGGGCTATTTGTTATGAGGAACAACTTCTTTCCACCAGCTTTTAAATGATCAAAAAGCTTCCGTATGTCTGGATTTAATTCAAGATATTCAGACACATTAGCTTCTACTAATCTATGCATGATGGGATGGCAGTTTTGAACGGATGTCTAAATGGCAAAATTAAAATCAGAAATTATTTCCAAAACAGTAATTAATTTACAGCATAAGTTTTTTTTAATAAAAATAATACAATACCTTTACATCTGAGAAGAGAATTTCTGGATGGAAATCAATTTGATGTGTTATAAAATAATCTAACACATTACACAAAAGACTCATTTCAGGCACAGAAAAGAGGTCGGCCAATTGGACCATTTTAGTGGAGGAATCCTAATGAACACAAAAACAAACAAAACATGGTCAAATGCTTGCCTTATAGCTCACAAAGACAAAATGGCTGTAGACTATAAAATTTGCACTAAAGTAATAGCTGAAGAATTGTTTCATTAGGCATTGTAAGCCACAAAGGACATCACAAATTAAAAAACAAAGGCAAAATTAACTCCTAATCAGAATAGCCTAAGCACAAATACTGAAATTAATTGTTCCTCTCAGGTTGCGTTAGACAACAACAAGAATAAAACATAAAGGAAGGAATAAAAAAAGAGCAGCCTATGCAAATAAAGTAAATAAATGCAGAAGAGTTAATGTTCATACAAATACCATAGACTACCCCCCCCCTTTTTTTTACGCCATGGTTTTCTTGATCCACTAGAACTTAGAAACAGGCAGCAACTTTGATTCTTTCTTGGTTTATTACCTTTGTAACTGAATGAATTAACATCAGCTTACCATGCAAAGCTAACTACTGCCATGCCATTGCAAATGCGAGCATGCATCCCTCATAAAACTTACTTTCTTATTCTGTGATAGATTGAGTAGATAAGAGGACAGAGAAAGACATTATTACAAAAGGGGATATTACAGAGTGTTCTTAATTTAAAAGAAAAATAACATTTCATGGGCTCTTTTACTGTTTAAGTAAGATATTGACACATGCAACACTTGCATGGCTCTCGACCACACATGAAGAGTCCTGTTTACAAGGTTTGCATTTTCACCTTAATATGTTAGACGGGGAGTGCACAATTAATTATTTTGAAATGTAACTCTAATAATTGAGTTGAACAAGATGTGAAAGAAAAACAGCACTTTGATAAAGAAAACTGTGCTAACACTTCTGAAGAATTTCCATTGGTAGAAAGAACAATAACATTGTCTTTTATTTACTTACCGCACCACCTCTTCCGCTTTCAACATATGCCAGAGGAATGGTCCTACTTTTGTACAGCTTCATCACATCATCATCTGACAGTGGGGTCAAGCCTCGGTACACAGAGCCCAACTGGATCTGAAGGAATGAGTCCAGCTTCAAGAGCAAGCCTTTGCTGACATCATAATGGAGGCCTCTGATGGCAAAGCCAGGCTGGTACTCCAGCTCTCGAATTCCATCAGGGTACTGTGAAAATAAAATTCAAGCCTTAATAAGAAAATTTTTTAAAAACAATTATAAGAGGAACTTAGTTGCAACAGGATACTTACTTTTAACTTTTCAACCAGACGATCACGGCCAAGATTATACAATAAAAAGTCCATACTAGGTTTGTAGCATGCCAAGGTATAATCATAGTCAAACCCATACACACGCACTTCTCGTAGATCTAACTCATTGCATGCAAATACTCCCTTAATATTGACGTCATTGGGTAACTTTTTTCCTGTGGACAAAGATCAAAAATGAAAAATGCTGGCATGCGGGGGTGAGGACA